CACACACTAAGATGAATGCATGCAGCAAACAGCTAAATCTCCAACTGGGATGACTCCCCTCTCTCCCTTTCCATTCTCTCTTCTTGCATGGACACAAACACACATCAACTCACACAGCTAGTCAGGATATTTTATGTATTTTTGCATTTGTGTTTGTCTCAGTGATGCCAGCATGCGGGTTGACTTACAGCAGGGTGCAGAATGAAAGTGAGCGAGGAGGGCTAGGAGCAGTGTTTTTCTGTACAGCTCAGACAAGTCTGGCTCTGCTTGGGCCTCTCGCTGCTCCGGCTCCCTGCAGACTGACACCCGACTGCTGCAGGGACTCAGCCATTTACAACTACAGTAACAGAGCCAGACACACAGTCCTTGCAAATTAAATAGACTATCGTATCTTGCTGTTTGGTCTTTCTACATCTATGACTTTTGCTTGTCTCTCTGAGTCTCTCCAACTTTTACCACCAGATTATAGCTTTCTCTCCCTCTCCTGCAGTGATAGAAGAATTCAATTTAGTACTGCAGCAATAAATTGAATTCTCAGTGCCATTTAATACAAGCTTCATTTAAAGTTAATTTTTATTTAAGTTCCTCCGCCACCTATCCACCAATCACTGACCCCTGAGGGGTGCCTCAGGGGTCAGTGCTCGGCCCTCTCCCCTTCTCAATTATGCATCACCTCACTTGGTGCACCTGCTCCCATGCTTTCTTTTTCCATTGCTGGACAAAACCTAACTCTTACTGTGATGTATTCCAGCCGGAGACCATCACAGTCTTGGCACAGAACTTGTCCTGCCTTGCTGGTATCTCTAAATTAATGAAAAAAATGCAACTTTAAGCTCAAGCTAACTAGGACTGTATTCACTCTGCAAGCTTTAATGCTCAATTTGGATTTATTGTCCAGATCTCTGGGGGGGGGCTGTTGATACTCTTTTTTGAATGTGGCCTGTATCAGATTCTAGTGTGTACTGTGCACAGTCCTGTCCCGCATAAATATTCAACCGTTAAAGAAAAGTGCTTTCAGACACAGTTTATGATACAACCTGATGATTACTAACAGAGGTGTCACCCCTAAAACTGATAGGGTCTCAACCCTCGCTGTCCCTCCACTGATTACATACATAGCAGATGAGGCCTGAGAACAAGACGTTTTAAGAGTAAGGTAATCAAACTCTTTACAGTTAATAATCACTATTAAAAGTCATGAAAAACATTGGTTAGTAAAGTGCTAAAAACTTACAGGGAATTAATGATAGTTTGTACGATACGTATTGGAATATCAAAATTAAGAAGTATTTGGATCATGTACTGAAGTAGTAATTCTTAAGAGACATGAGGTAATTTGGCCACTTTAGCAGCAGAGCTTAAGACATGAAAATCAGGACATCATTAAAATATTTTTTTCAGGAAGAAAGTCCATCCAACTTTGTGATCCTTAAAGCAGTAACCAGAATGAAATGTACCATTAGTGATAAACAGTCTCCAACTTCTGATGTAATGCAAGGTCAATGTGACAGAATGTCCTCAGTATATTTTATTACACATAATGGATTATTGATGAAATACTGCAACATATAGCCTGTGCAGGATTTTGATGTTGCAGCCACTTTAGATGAAGTGGAGCTGATTTTAACGACTTAATGTACTGTTGGGGGATTAATCTTTATCTATAACAATGCTTCATACTTTACAGGTTGACAGAATGTATAGGATTTAAGTATAAAGTAACATATCGTGAAAAATATTCAAGTACCTCAAAATACATAACCTGTATAAATCTACTTTGTTACTTTCCACCGCTGCTCTTCTGCTTCTCTATCTCTATCCTGCTCTGTGTCTCTCTTTCTGCAGAAATACTTTCCAATCTCTTCTCTCTGTATTCAATTTCGTTCTTTTATTCCCCCGTTGTGCTCGGCCCATTCCCTCTCTTCTCCTTTTTTTTCACTTATTCTCCTTACTTCTATCACAGCTTTCCGCCTCCCCCCCCCCGTCTCCCCCTTCCTTGGAGTATAGATGCTGTAATCTTTGCTGTCTAATACTGTCAATAGCACTCAATAACAATGAAATAGCACCGGTTCCATTCCAGCATTGATGAAGGCATAGGATCTTATTTGTCATCATGGCAATCTGCTCCTTGGTAATAGCCAATCAGGTGGCTCCTGTGAAAATGCTGCGCTCCTATGATAGGTTCCTCCATTGTTTTGATTGACTGCACCTGAGGGCCCACCACTTCGGCTGGCCTCGATCAATACACCATCACACTAAGGCATGCCCATACATGTCTTAGAATAGACACACAGGTCTGGACACCTCACACACACACACACACACACACACACACACACACACACACACACACACACTTTGGTGAAGGGTAAATCCAGAATGAGACCATTGCTGCTATAGGAGAAAGACAATACAGTTGTTATATCCAACTAAACGTAATTGTAATAATTTGTAGCAATGTAATGTGCAGCACAATACAATAGTGTGCGGGGTGAATATTCAGCTATTTCTCTACATCATGATATACGTGTGAACAGATATGAAAACATGGAACTCATTTTTTTGGTTCAGTTATTATTTATTTATTGGCATCTTTAAGGCTGTGCTGAAACAAGAATGACTTATCGAACACACTGAAACTCCTCCGACTGTGTGCCTGTTATTCTATGTTGTGTCACACATACAGATGGCCTTGCCTCTATTCATCCTGAGATGCGGTAACGATAATGAGAACAACATGACCATCTGCACAGTATGGCGCCTACTATTAGGAATACAAACATGCTCCCTGCACATGCTTGCCACAGTAAACCCAACAATGAAACATGAATGAAGTTAAACAGAAAGAAAGGGGGGGTCAATAAGAGGATAAAGAACAAAAGGAAAAATAGAAGAGTTTGGTGGTTTTATGAGATTTGAAGAGGGATTGACAGCATAGGGTTGTGTATTTTTTTGACGTGCTTTAAACATCAGTGTTTGAAAGATAAAACAATAACCATTGTCTTTTTTTAAGGAGTAACCCTTTTATGTGCTAGCAGATCCCATGTGGAAGAATTCTTCTTCAGTGTGTTCACTAGCTTCAGGTTGAAACATAAAAACAACATGCACACATAAATAGAAGTAGGACTGCACAATTAACTGAAATTTCTATGACATCACATCATGCACATTTGCAGTTAACTCACCAAGAAGTCTGAATTCATCCCATTAATACAATTTTTGGAAGTAAGCAGAACTCTCTCACTCTGCATGCAGACATTTTACCCATTGGATAGAGGCCTGGGTTTAATGGGAATGTTTTCTCACCGTACTGATGCAGTACGATGAAGCTAACTGGCTAACATTTATTCTAGATTCAGAGGGGACATATTGCAAACACAGGTAATGTGTTAGACATGAAGAACAACAGAGAATCATGGAAACTGCGTTATAGCTAATATGCATTTTTTATTCTTCTGAAAATGTATCACACTTATTATCGTTAAGAAATTTAAAAAATGTTAGACATACCGGTATATATTTTTCTCATATCATGTAGACCTCAAAGGAAGATGTGTTTGATGTTTTGCTCACAACTATTCAAGGTCACTCTACGTGGACAGAGATTAATGGAGAAATGAAAATAACATAATAGCAATAAAATATAAGCTAATAAATGATATGCACCACATGAACAAATACAAGCTTTTACACTTTTAAGTCAATGTTTATTTGTTCTGCCATGTTTCTGCATAATATGACATCAAGTCTGTCAACTCAGCAAGCAAGGTACCCAAATTTGCTACATATGACCAAACAGTCGTCGTTTCAACTTCAGGTGGCATTTACTTAAATATGAATTTATGTCATACATACTAAATTTGGAAGTAAAGTTGAATTGAAACGGTAGGGTTGCAGATTTTTTTTTCCATGTGCTATAACATCAAAGCTGTTTGAAAGGTAAAAAATATATATCTCAAAGGCAAAGAGCTTTGGAAAAAAGGTGGGAGGGATATTCATTCAACTCAGTGACCGACAATCCACATCATCTGTCTCTTTGATGTACATCTACACAAACGCACAATGCAACACAACTCTTTTTAACTTGTCAGGGTCACAGGTCGGCTTTCTACATCTCAAGCATCCCCCTGGTTACAGCTGCAGGGGTCAATTGAAGGTCACAAACAGAGTCTTCAGCTGTCTGTCAGACCTGTCTTTAAGATCAGACTGGCGACCCAGACTGCCAGGACTGCCATCAACACCATCTCCAACTCCAACACCACCCCTCACACAACCTCCCCCTCCTGTCTGTCACACAAAGCTCCTCCTCCACCTTTCCTGTGTTTTCATCCCTCCCTACTTTCTTTCTCCGTCCTTGTAATGTTGTCAGTCAGAGCAAGGTTTGTCACTCCTGGAGAGGGCTGCTTGAAGCTCAGCTGAGCTCTCTTTATGCACTTTTTCTCTGTTTGTGTGTCTTTAGAGGTGGAGGCGGGGGGGTTAGGCTATTGAAAACTGTGTTCAGGTGTGCATGAATGTATCTTGTATCAATGTGAATGTTCTCGGGACAGTTGTTTTGTTCCTTTGAGTCTGAGTGTTATTTGTTTGTGAGTGCATTCCTGTTATATGTATGCCTATGTCGGTATGTGCAGCCACATACAGTAGGTGCCAGTTGTTTTGATGTTTTGTTTGAACCCCCAGAGATCTCTTCGAGGCTGAATATTGTCAGTTCTTAACAGCACACTTTCCACAGGCGACATGAATAGAGAAGTGTGCACTGTATTTTATTTGACAGGCTGCATGCATGGGCTGCCTCTGTGATATGACAGTGAACATCTTCATAGCAGAATATAAAAGTCTACAATACGTGCTGTCAAATTATAACGTGCTCCCCACTACATTGGAGTGTGACAGAGCAAACAGCAGATAAGCTTTGGGATGACAATTTGAAAGAGAGACATTGTGTGCCAGGAAAGTGAGTACGTCTCTAGTAACGTGCTGTGTTTTCTCCTCCGCTCCTGCAGGTGGTGGTACAGGCAGCCAGCAGACCGTTCTCCATGAGGAGCAGTAGAAGATGCCGGCTCTGCCAGCACTGCTGCTGTCAATACATTTCCTCTCTTTCCTGCTAGTCACCATGCCGCCATACTCCCTCTGTCAGGCCCCTTTGCTCTCCTCCGTCCGCATGGGTGAGTGGAAAGCCATCCCTAGATTCATAAAGTTTCTCAACACAAATGTCATGGTTTGTTGTAGCCTACTGTAGGACAGAAAAGCACTGGAAATCCAAATTAGTGCGAATAATATAAACATGTGTTCAACCTGTCCTTGTTCAGTAAAATATCTTCCCATCTAAAAGTGATTAAGAGATACAATCCTCATTGATACACTTAAGTCCTTCTGATCTGCTGTATGAAAGCAGGTGTACAAAATAGTGGGAAATAAAGCTGCTCCAAAAAACTGTTCTGAGATGTTTAAAAAAAAATTGTGTCCCAGTGTACGATTTTACATTGTGTGACGTGTTGCAGAAGCACACGTCACACAGAGAGGCAAGACTTGTAACACACAGTGTAAGCTTTACATACAAACACTGTTACTACATATTCTGATTGGCTCAGCAGCAGAACAGCTCTACCCTGCCTTTACGACTCTGTGACATTTACAATGGAGGCGAGGTTTAACCTTCTTTCTTGAACAGACATTGTTTAAGGGAGTTGCAAAAAAATGGGTAAAGGGGCTGAGAGCTTTTTAGCAACATTTTTTCAAATAGAAAAAAGTCAGTATTTTAATAACCAACAATTTCCATTGAAGCGAGATCTTATAATTTTAACTTATTGCTTATGTGAATGGGGACTATCCTGAAAATAATGAAAACATATTACTTCAATTTGATGATTTTGTTTGGGTCCCAAATCCCTTACTTATTTGAACAAGGTTAAACCCCTTCATTTCTTCTGTGGTTGTTAATTCTCTGTCTGCTGCACTCTTATTCCCCTTTCACATAACAGCTCTGAATCTCTTTGGCTCACTCCTCACCTTTTTCTTCCCCCTCTCTGCCCTCCATCATCCTCCTCTGGCCTCCTCTCCTCTGCTTCACCTGTCTTTTCTTCCCTCTCTGCCTCTCTAGCGGCGATCCTGGACGACCAGTCTGTGTGTGGGCGCGGGGAACGGCTTGCGCTGGCTCTGGCCAGGGAGAACATCAACAGCGTGATGGAGGGTCCGGCCCGAGCCCGAGTGGAGGTGGACATATACGAGCTGCAGAAAGACTCCCAGTATGACACAACTGACACCAGTGAGTGGAGCTGATTCACATGAAAGAAGACAGAAAGACATATCAATATGAGAATCACACATAAAAGGATAGTTTAATCCCACATCGGAAGATAAATAAAAAAAATATCAGCAGATATTATTTAAAATAATATTTTTGAGCTTCAAAGTGACCTGCACAGAGTAGAAATGAAACAGATCTTCTGAATACTGCAGGTTTTTCATTTATTTAAGAAAGCTGCTTGTAGTTTTTTTTCTTCAAAAAAAGGCTGTTAAACTTTCTAAAAAAGCAAAAAAAAACACTCTTACGATTACTAGATGATAAAAAAACACCAGCACTTCCATGTGATTAGGAACCAGTAAGGGCTTGTTCTGGTTAGATTACACGTCATTGGAGACCAGTAATGGGCCAGTAAACCCGTCTCATTAAAAAAAAAATGGACCAGTGCCCTCCAGTAACAGCTGGCACTGTGTATTCTGCAGGCTAGCACAAAAACAAATCATCAAATTCTAATACAGATCAGCAGTGCAGGCCAAGAGAATGAGCACTACACCACAGAGACCACTCCATGAAATTTGTATCAATACAGCGAGTTAAAACAGAATGTTTGGAGTCTATAAAGATAGAGAGCTGCTAAATCCAGTCACAGAGGAGACACTGACTCCCTGCTCCTCTTCTAATAGGTCACTGACCCTGCCACAGGCTACACGCACTATGTCTATGTGTGCTTGAGAAGGGATGTGTACATTTGTGCATGCTTGAGTTGCAGTTGTTTGCGTATGTGTGAGTGTGTTTTTGTGTGTGTGTGTGTGTGTGTGTGTGTGTTTGTGTGTGTGTTTGTGTGTGCGCGTGTGTGTGCGTGTGTGTGCGTGTGTGTGTGTGTGTGTGTGTGTGTGTGTGTGTGTGTGTGTGTGTGTGTGTGTGTGTGTGTGTGTGTGTGTGTGTTTGTTTGTGTCCTTGACCGATGGGCAGGAGACTCTGACAGGCTTGTTTCCCTGCAGCCTTTTTTTTGTCTCTGGATCGGAGAGCTCATCATCTTACAGCTACGTCTGTCTGAGGCACGCAGGCACTCACGACACCCACCCACCCCCACACACACACACACACACACACACACACACACACACACACACACACACACACACACACACACACACACAAAACATTTACACATCAATCACACACATCTCCTCCTGCAGACACATGTGCACATTCACAAATTGGATGCAGTGTGGGCATGTACATCCATAGACAACAGCAGGGACTGAAGAGGACTAATTGGGATGAATTAAAATAAAAACTGAATAAACCAGAGAGGAAAGCGCTTTTATGAAAGTCAGAATAGCACTGTGAAGTCAGAGGAATAAATTCTGCGATATCTGTGAAAGAAAATCACTGTGAAGTCTGAAGACTCTTAAAAAAAACAGGCAAGCATTCGTGTAAGCTTAAGTATGAAAGCCCTGAGTGTATAATGGTGTCAATCTTTGTTGGTGGAAGATGTTACATACAAAGAAGAAGTTTGACATTTACAAATATCTTGTATGATCTTTGGCTTTTTTACTGACAAACTGAAAATATACAATGTCTAGCTCAGTGTTAGCTGTGTGTGTGGGCGCGTGTGCATGTGCGCGTGTGTGTGCGATAACAGTTACAAGAAAGACATTTAACAACAACTTTGTCCTGTCATCATTTTCTTATATTATTTGTGTCTACTGAACAGGAGAAATCATTTCAAGTCTGAAGAGCAAACTCTGGGCACTCACGTCAGATGAAAGGAGTATGTCATGTTTGGACAAAGCTTTGTTAGCTACATGGCTAACAAAACATAGCTTGTTCAATAAAACAATTTAAGAAAGATAGTTTTGATATAATATATATTTGTTGTGGTTCAAATGCAGAGACAACACTTTAACCTTGTCCATACCATGAGTTCAGAATCGTGATCTGATCATATCATTTGCACAAAAGTTGGGAGATATAAGAAAACATGGGCACCTTCAATTGCTTCAAATCAGGACAATACTTCTCTTATAGTGTTCCGTCTTGACATGAATTTATTGCAAAAAGGTGAGACAAATGAGTCTATCTGGAGATAACAGAGACATTATTATTATTTTTTTTTTTTTGGCCTTTTGCATGTAGGAGAATTGCAATAAAGGGTTAAGGTCAGGGCTGGAACCTGCAGCTGAGTTTTTGTAGGCCTCTGTATTTGGGGTGCCTGCTGTACTGACTGAGCCTGAGGAGCCTGAGATAGTAGAAGAAGTAAAGATAATAGTAATGAAAAGTAGTAAATGTATTGTATAAAAGCACTCATTCAACCTAAATGTCCTCCTGAAAAAAGGGTAATTAAGCAATCTGGCATTTGTTAATGGAAGGCAACCACCATTCTGTTAGTCTTGTTCTGATGCCAGAGATTAATTAGTCCAACATGTCTTTAGAATCATTACAATCATTAAAAGTGTCTAAACAAGTGAATAATAGCAGCAGGAGAACCCTGACCTACCCTACTGTTCTCATCGGTAAGTTTATCTCACAATAAATCTGATAATAATGAGGCTGATTGTGCTGCTACAGTACAATCGGTGGCTGAACTGAACTCACAGTGCACCTTCAGCAAAGTCTCCTGACTGCAGCCTCTATTGTAACCAACTCTGTGCTGCCATCAAAATAAAACAGGTGTGTGTGTGTGTGTCAGCATAGTCAGTGTGTGCTGTCCCTTTTTTCTTTTCAGTGTGTCAGATTCTACCCAAAGGCGTCGTCTCTGTGATAGGTCCCGCCTCCAGCCCCGCCTCTGGCTCTACTGTCAGTCATATATGTGGAGAGAAGGAGGTGAGTGTGGAAATTATTAAACACACACACCAGTATGTGCAAGTCTGTATGTTTGTGTGTATACCAGCATCTAATATCTGTCTTACTACCCCTCCCAACCACACAGATGTCTTGATTGATGTGTCTAGAGGTTCTGTTTTTCTTGCCTATTGAATTTCCTCTCACATAATTAACCATCATCCTCATCTTCCAACTCTTTTCTCCTTTCTTACTGTTGCCTTTCATCCTTACGTGTCTCTGTTCTCTACCGTTTCCATCTTTCTTATCTCTCTTTTCACCCTATAGCCTCTCTAATGGAGCTTCTTTTTCTCCCCTTGTAGTTTGTGTTTGGAGGGGAGTTAATTACAACACATTTCCCTTGCTTAATGTTTGTCTCCTTGCTTCAGGATTCAATTCAAAAGGTTTTAATGACATTGCATGAAATGGGTGGCAAAAGCTCCATTATCCTCTGTTCTTCTTTTTAGATCCCTCATGTAAAGATCGGTCCGGAGGAGACTCCTCGCTTGCCATACCTGCGCTTCGCCTCTGTCACTCTGTACCCTAGCAACGAAGACCTGAGCCTGGCCATAGGAGCCATCTTGCGCTCGTTCAGTTACCCCTCTGCCAGCCTCGTCTGTGCCAAGGCTGAATGTAAGTACACCTGCACTTTCTTTTACACTTTTACATTAGATTACTTGTGACTGCATGGCTGTCTTTGTGTTAAGGTGGGTGTGAAAGCATGAGATCTGTCCTCGCTAGCTTACTCACCTTCTATATTTGTGTGTTTGTGTTTATGTTTGTCTGTGGGAGTGTTGGCACATTCACACTGTTTGGGCGGATGTGACTGTTTTGCACTTTTGGACACTCATTTTGACAGTCTGGTCATAAAGTTGTGTCTGTTGTCAGAGTTCAGAGCACAGCTCATACAGCAGCCTCACTCTTTATTACTCACCAGCACCTTGTCTCTTATCCACCTCAGAGAGTTGTTTAGCTAAACCAATTTCATAAATATTCCTGTTTGAACTGCTTTCCAGTATTGAAAGAACTTAGGGGACATTTGATTTAACTTACCAGGCACTCAGTCAGTTTAAACATCACAAGGGATTCAGGGCTTAGTCAGTAGCACTCTTTATTTTTCATTTTGAGAGAGTGCATTATTGATTTATTATGCTTTTGCCCGATCAGAGCTCTTAGGAATTCAAGTTCTTGGTCTGATGGTAGCTGTCATATTCAAACAAAGCAGGGGAATTTGTTACAGAATACACTATGCGGGAAGAAGGAAGCAAGATAATTGTACATCTAAATTTCACTCTGAATAATAGGCAGAATTTTTCATCAATTAGGGAGTAAAACTGATCTGTGATGCAGCCAAGTAGAGCCCTACAAAAACTGAAGGGTAATTAGATACAGAATGAAAGGGACTAGCATTGGAGTCACTTCTCATGGCAGCGCGAAAGGGTAGATATTACAAAACAAAAAGCTGTGACATTATCAGAAATTGATGAATTCATTGAGATTCCTCCATTACCTCCACAGCAGTTAAAACAGCCTTCCTGTGTTTTTCCTGGAAGTAAGCTGAATTCCTGGGGGACTTGTCATTTCATTGAAGTAAAAGAGCTTTGAAATAGCATCAGACATCTTTTTTTCCAGGTTTGATGATCAGTTGAACAGATAGATAAGAGCCTTTTTTTCACTGGGTTTCTCCTCTCACGGGAATCGGAAGCTGCAGATCGCCTGATGGTTACCTTCCCGGGGCCAAAAGATGCCGCATCATCTGCAAGGTAGACTGAGGGCTGTGAGTGTGTGTAACATTATCGTCTTGAAGGTGATCTATACAAGGTTATCACACTCGCAGACTCTGACCCACTTGGCTGCACTATCTATCGCCATGGAGCTGGTTGCCATGGCTGCAGAATAGGTGCTAACTGCCACTCAACAGGCTTGTTCCTCTGAAAGACTGCGAGTGGGTGTGTGAGGCTCGGTTTGTGTGTGTCTGATATATTCCTTTCTGTGGTTCGCTTTGTCCTTACACATGCATGTGCTCAAGTGCCAATTTACGAGTGCGTGCGTGTATTGTTTGCTCTGGATGTCCGTACATGTGTGAGTGTGTTTTGGGGTACTTGTATGATTGTGTGTGTGTCTCTGCTGTGCAGCTGCAGGGGTTCAACATCACACAATGTTTACCACCAGCCCACTTGTTTTATTCATCTTGTTTACCCCGCTGTAGAGTGGTGTGTTCAAGTGAAGCAGACATGCTCTCTGTTTTGTCAGTGAGGCGGGTAATATGTGAAGTCACACGTTTTATTGACACCCACCATGCACACACTGCTAATTAAGCAGCGTATTTAGAATCCAGGCATCATGTTAAAGGCATTGATCTAATTTCTCTCTCTTCTAGCCGTGTAAGTCACAGTCCATAGATATTCAGTTAAATGAGAGTGAGTCAGAGATTTTGGGTCATTTCCGACGTATCCTTCTCTCGCTATGCCTGGGTCACAACGCGCTATCAGAGCCTAATTCCATTATGCAGTTTTCATGAGATGGATGAGGTTAAAGACGGGGAGAGGGAGACAGGATGAGGAGATGGCGGCGGGCGGCGGGCGGCGTACGAGCGAGATGGATAAAGACAGAGAGAGGTAACTAGAGCACATGGCTGAAGACAAGGGAGATAGAGAGGTTGGTGTGAGAGAGAGAATATGTGAAGGAAGGAAGAGTGAGCGAGGGGGAGAGGAAGCTGTAAAGTGCATTGATTTTTTCCCCTCCTTCCTCAAACTAATTAAAGTTTTGGCCTGGTTCAGTGATTACCCCACTGCTTACAGAGGCTTTCTCCTGCTGAAGGGCTCTGTGTGCTACCTCTCTCCCCTCCTCTTCTCCTCCCTCTCCTCTTCCACCCTGTCCCCCAGATGCCTGCCCCACCACCACTTATTTACATAGCTAGGGGTGCTTTACCATGGAATTACAATTAGGATGCAGCAAGGTAGACTTTCTAGTACAGGCAGCTTCCTCACACAATATCAAGTGAGTCTTGACTGCCATTGGTTAAACTCATTTTCGAGAGAAATTCGCTTCAAGAAGACTTGTCTCAAGCATTATATTTCAGTTATTGCTTCTACCCCATGTCTTATCCATCATTTCAGTCTGTAGACTCCTTGCAACCCTATTTTTTTTATTATGATGATTTTCTGTATTTCTAATTATTTTGCTAAAAAAATACACACCTCAAAGATTTGAAAATAATTACTTGATGGATGTTACAACAGACACAACATAATTTACAAGCACTCAAGGAGCACATGCTCCTGCCAAAGCTGCACCAACACACTTCATTTCTTATTATTTTAATAGAAAATGTTTTGAAATCTGTCATTGTGATTTGCTGCTGATTATAAATTTTGAAGGACACATAAATCTTGTCTGGGAATAAAAATAGATTTGGACAAAGATTGGGACTCACAGAGTTATATCGTGTCATGTTGTTAGTACAAGATCAATGGTAAAAACACATTGTGTTTACCTTTTGGAGCCCATGTGTATTTTTTTATGTTAACACAGTTTATAATGCATAATGTATGATTAAGAACTTGGGACATAAACATGTGTTGGGAGTGAGGTCAAATATGCAGCTCACATACATAAGTTGAGCAATAAGAAAGTACTTTAATAAGAATTTTTCAGAAAATCTTTACAAGAGACTAATAATTATTCTCAGTACGTTTCTATTGGTATGGAGAAGCAGACTCTCCAATCTTAAAGAACGAGAAAAATGTGTCAGGACAAAAATGATTGACCCTTTTTACAACAACATCAAAAAGAAATGGTTTGGTATTTCTGTGAATAATGAATCTTATCTATGACTAAAGGTATTCTTATATTAATTAATTTTTAATTTTGACAACATTTTCAATAGATATTAGATATGCAGGAAGCAGAATTTGCATCGTATCCGATGTTGACATTACCTTGTGCATAATCAGAAGGATGCATTTTATGCTAGTTGTATCTTTAGATAATCTAATAATAAGAAATGAGTAAAGCTCAAAACAACATTTCCCTATTTGTTGGCCTTCTGGTAGCATTTTAATCTTCTGTCTATTTCGGTCTTGTGCTTTAGAAAAAGTCGTGGGTAATTACAGTCTAAGGTAAAGGCTTTATCTTATTGAACAAACAGTTTAATTTCATATACAGTATGTACATGAACAACATGGTTTACATCTGAAAATATAACTCTAGAAAACAAAGAGTCAGATGTACCTGCTGGAAAAGTTTGTGTTGCTCTAATGCAGACCTGTTCCTTTGATGTTAAACACTTAGATTGACACATAGTCATCGAGTGAAATAGACTGTTGCAGCAGGTGAGAGCCAGGTGACAGTATCCATGGATCTAATGGATTGAGACATCCTAAAAAAGTAATGTCCATTGAATTGGTGAAGGGGTCCGATTGAGATATAATACTAATAGAAAAAACAAATAAACATAAGGCGCTAAATGGAAAAAGTCCTTGGTGGAGGTCATAAAATAATACAAATAAGTAAAAAAAAAAGTCCTAAATAACAAATACAGTAAGTCCTATAAAGAGAGAACGTGCAGATGTGTTCTCATGCGACTTGATGTCTCATTTCCTGCTGATTTAGTGAAACAATCAGTCACAGTTTGCAAAATGACAGAAATATGTGACAGTCCGAGGATGAATCAAGGTTTTTACATGTCATGCCAAGCTTTTGGAAATGTGAGCTGTGTGTACTGATACAGACATTGATATGCGACCTGGCTCTGCTTTGGCTCTGCCTCAGGCCTGCTGAGATTGGAGGAACTGGTGCGCCGCTTTCTCATCTCCCGGGAGACGTTGTCAATCAGGATGCTCGATGACAACCTGGACCCTACCCCGCTGCTGAAGGAGATCCGTGACGACAAAGTGGCCACCATCATCATTGATGCCAACGCGTCTGTCTCCTATCTCATCCTCAAGAAGGTCAGTTCTCACACATACTTTCTTTTAATCTACCCACACAAGCAGGATAAGAAAGTTATAAACGTATGCACACTGTTTAAAAAAAAAAAAAATCAATACAGGAAAATTCAGGTTTCATTCTTTGAAGGGTATGCAGAGTTTATCATCTGTAAAATAATTACGCAGCTCTTCCAAAGTCCCATAGGCTTCATGTTTGCTGTTGTAACAGTATGAACATGTATTTTTACCTCCTCTGTCCTCCAGAGCTGCACAGGGAAACAATACTTATTCATGTCTGCCAGCAACAATCACTTACCCTCCTAAGAAAGTATTTGACAAAAGAACATTTTGCAGGGCTGCGGTGCAGATGCTACCCGGGCTTGTTCTGATTCATGTTACGGCCTGTAATGCCGATAGCCAGCGCAGTGACTCACAGTTTGAATGTGTATGGGATGTTTTTTCGCTGGGCACATCGCAGCGGCTGTATGCCCTCAGCGAAATGTCCTAGTGTTCGCATGATGATGTAAAACTGTGATTAACGTATCCATCCTCCCCCATGTTCTCCCCATCTTTGTCCCCCAACTGTCTCCTTTGCTCTCTGCCTCTCAATAACTCTCCTCCTTTGCCCTTTCTTTCGCTCCCTCTCTCTCTCTCTTTCCATCAATCTCTCCAACATCCCTCTCTTTCCTCCTGCTGTATTCCACCTGCCTCTTCCTTATTTTTTAACCTCCCTCTACTTTTCTCTATGTCCTACAGGCGTCAGAGCTTGGGATGACATCAGCATTTTACAAGTACATCCTCACCACAATGGTAAGAGCTTTTTCCCCCATACTGCCACTTCCCTCTCTTCTGTCTCCTAGCCCTCCATGTTCACTCGTTACCTCTCTCCTGCTCCGGCTCTTCTGTCCGTTCATGAGGGAAAAAAAGGTGCAAAGGCAGGGAAAGTGTTAGATAGATGGAGATGAAAGAGGTGACAGAGAGAGAATAGAGAGTGGAGATGAAGGATGGAAAATGAACGTACTGTACAAAGATGTGGGCGTGCAGAGGATGATGGCGTTTAAAAAAAAAGCAAAAAAAGAAGAAAAGGGGGCCTGAGGTGAAGGTAATGACAGTCTTGATGTGTCCTTCTCCTGCCACCCGCCACCTTCTCTACGCTTCTAGTGTTTTAATCTGCTGCTTTGATATACTCACCTCCCCTTCTATCATTTCAGTTAATAAGTCACTTAGTGCTTTGCGCAGGAGTTTGACCCCCCTCCCTCTGTGCATGATGTGCTCTTGTGCCTCATGACTCTGTCTTGTGTTTAAATTTCAGCAAAAGGTACAGGAGTCTTTCCATCAACCTCTCCTGTATCGCTGTTTTCCCAATATTCCTGTGTGTCTTTTTTTTTTTTTCTTCCTCCATCAGAGATTAGATTTTGTCATTCCCCGTAGCCTCTCTTTTTCTCCATCACACTCTTCTTTGCAGAGTCTTTTTCAAGATTTGAAACACTGTCAACATTGTCACTCACCTCAATTTTCTCCCTCTCTCTCTCGCTCTCTGCAAACACCCTCACTCTTTCCCTTCCTACTCCTCTCAAGGACTTCCCGCTACTGAGACTGGATGATATCGTAGATGAGCAGTCCAACATTGTGGGTTTCTCCATGTTCAACACCACCCATCCCTTCTATTTGGAGTTCATCAGGAGCCTCAACCTCTCATGGAGGGAGCGCTGTGACCTAACGTACCCCGGCCCCGCGGTCAGTCTCACGGACACTTGAGTATTCATGCATGCGCACATTCAGGAGTCATTCCCAAAGCTTTGTTTGCATGCCACGTAACATTAAGCTAGTTTATTCCTCATGCTGATTCATGGAGCAGTTAAAGAGATTCAGCTAGTCTTTTGCTTGCATTTAATGGGTATTGATGTTTCCATCTGTGTTTCCTCCCCACTGGTTTACTCATACACCGCATCTCTGCTCTCTCTCTCTCTCTCTCTCTCTACCCTTTTTTCCCGGTTAACCGTTCAATCATCTCTGCTCACACCTTTCTCTTCATTGCATCTTTTCCCTCGACTCCTTGTCTTTCTTGGCTGCCCCCCCCCCCCCCCCCTTGTATTCTCTTGTTTCCTCTCCCTCTGCCACAGCTCTCGTCTGCACTGATGTTTGATGCGGTGCATGTGGTGGTGGGGGCGGTGAGGGAATTGAACCGCAGTCAGGAAATCGGAGTGAAGCCGCTCAGCTGCACATCGCCTCAGATCTGGCAGCACGGGACCAGTCTTATGAACTACCTGCGCATGGTAAACAGCTGATCAATGTGAATATGTGCAGAATGTGAAATAAAAAGGTCAATTTAACTGAATTTCATGTCTTCAGATGTTGACATTTTTGATGTTCATATTTGTTGTAGCATTATTTCAATGTTTGGGCTCCATTTATGATCATCATAGTAAAAACTTTTTTTTCTCACCCAAAAACAAGTTTGGATGTGGCAAACAACTTTTGAATGTTCTAATGAATATTTGTATTTATTATGTAGAGTAAATTAAAGTGAGATTTGTTTTTCACATTTGTCAAAATTGTGGAAATAGCATTTAAAATGTTCCAAAACCTGAAAGTTAACATCATTAAAATAATAGATGATTAGACAATAGGAAGATATGTTATGAAGATAACATTAAGTATTGGGATAACACTTAATATTTTTAAGTAATATATCTAGCAAAAAGGCTCTTTCCATAATATAAAATGTAAAGTTTGCTCTTTTTCTATTGTACGTGATAATTAACAGAATGGCTGGATTTTCAGTGTTGGTTTGAAAAAACTAAATATTTCGAAAAAACAACAACATTGAAGTCAAAGAATTTTTCTGACACTTCAAGGAAAAATCAAGCTATAGATTATTCAAAAATACCAGATTAATATGGAGTTAGATCAGTCTCAATATTCACAAATGCACACAGAAGGATTCACAAATGTATTTCTGATTCACACACAAATATTTATAGTTTTGTATATATGTAATAGAAATCCACAAATATATAAACTGTTCAGTCTGCATTTACAAACTGTTTGGCATTTGTGTGTGGGATTTTTGAGACTCCCCTGCTGTGGTTTGAGTCACAAATGCATTTTTTTCAGCAGGGAAATGTCTGTAGCCAATCAGATGTCTCCTTCCTATTCAGCCAATCACAGTAGCGTAGATTCAAGGGTATGATTTAATGTGATCACTTCAGCGTTGCATCTGTGCATACAGCGATTAGCCTAGCTATCAGACAATCTGATTAAGTCATCTTTAATCTGACCAGCACAAATAGTCTCTGTGATTGTCGTGCTATACATGGAAGTTGTTTATCGTGGTGGCTATATTGACTGCGTGTCGTTGGTTTAACTGGTGATATTCCGGCCGATGTATCGCGGCTTTTGAAGGACCCATTGTTGACTTGAAATATATTTGTGTGTGCATTGAAATACATTTGTGAGTCCTTCTGTGTGCATTTGTGAATATTGAGACTGATCTATCTCCATAGATTAATATCCCAACTACAAATGACAAACAGTTCCCAAAAAAAATCCTATTTTAACGTCACAAATCAGAGAAACACTGATGGAGAACCTCATGATTTTGACCAAAACATGTTTTCATATTCAAAATATGTAGGACATATGTACGTATTTGCACATGTGATGCATGTACTTTGTACATTGGAAACATGGTTTTAGTGAATTTTGTAAAGTGCAAGCAAGTTCAGAATTTCTCCATGTGTTCCAAATGTCACAGCATGTGTCCATGTTTAAAAATGCAAAAATAATCATATCAGAGGATGTATGAGCAAGTTGTGCTGGCATTTTTGCTTTAAATACTTAAATGATGATCAGAACTATGGTCCATCCATTTTCTCTCAGTTGACTTAAGACAACAGTTTCACACCTTTATGTGTCATCCTCATGTCATGCTGCATGTAACCTCTGTCTTTTGTTGCTCTTTGTCGTCTCCCATCTCCGGGTGTCTGTCTGTGTGTGTGTGTGTGTGTGTGTGTGTGTGTGTCTCTCTCATCGACGACCTGCTGTCAAGGCAGCCTGAGCCCCATCTCTCATTGCCTTCTCCCCACCGGCCCGACATCTGCCTTTGTTAGTCAACATCATGGTGTGCTCCATCTTCAGCATCGTGCCATTCATCATAGATCTCACTTTCTGTGCCGGCACCTGGGCTTCTGGAGAGGAAGAGCTGAGCTGTGAGGTGCTCTTTTGAGTCTTATTAGGGAGCTGTTGGCTTTTTTTTTTTGCTTCTCTGTCTGAGCCTCTGTGCTCAGTCAGTCACTGTCTCTCCTCTTCTTAAAGTTGATCCAAAACTGATCGTCCATGTCTGGTCCAGCCTCAGACACTTCCTCTCTGTCGCTCTATCTGGCTCCTTGTCTTTCACCCTCTCTTTCTGCTAAATACTGTAGATAGTTTCTCTTTGCCTAATGATGATGGATAGTGTGGAGAAGAGTTTTTTTTTAAAAATAGAAAATCGTCTATGTTTATATCTCCATTAATCCTCATTGTTTCTGCCTACTTTCATCTCATTTCCACATCTCTCTCCTCTTTTCCTGTCTTCTATCATACTTCCTCACCTCACTTTCTCCCTCTGCCTGCCAGGTGGAGTATGATGGTCTGACCGGCCGTGTGGAGTTCAACAGCAAAGGTCAGAGGACCAACTACACCATGAGGATCCTAGAGAAGCACAGAGGAGGTCACAAAGAGGTCAGAGGTCTCCTGTTATCATGCATCAGCCAGATTAAGTCACCTAAAGGCCATAGGTTAGTTACAGGTCTACTGTATGATGTCACAAAGACGGGGGAGGTGTTTACCGCTGAGGTCAGCCTCGTCACAGCAAAAAAATCTTTATTCTACTTTCTTCTTCTAACATAATACTCATCTTTACTGCATTTCACCTGACAGCAATGTAGTGTAAACTGCCAATCGGACAGTCAGACAGCATTTACTTTATCTGAGGGGTAAATAAATTAACTGCTCAAGCATCGTGATCATTTTATTGAAAGGCTGCTAAAGTTTTATAGGAGGTTAATATTGGGTCCAGTATGTCATTAATCAAAGTGTTATGTATGTATCACTTTAAGGATCCATGTCCTATCAAAGTTTGTTTTTATCCCTGAAAACCAGTTTTTTTTTCTCAGCCTGCATGTTGACTTAATGTTTTATGATGTAAAGATACAGATAGGTTATTTTATTAATGGTTGATTCATTTTCTTCCCATGGCTACATACAGTGACATTAATTTCTAGGACAGTATTTGTTTTTGGCCTCAGGCTCAGTACAGTGCAGATATGCCCATAGATCTGCTTACTGCTCCTGAACTGTATTATATTTATATGGAGACGTAGAGGAGTTTATTTTAGTCTCTGCCTCGTCTCGAACTGGGCTTGCAGAGTCTTATGTTTAATCTGCATTGGTTTTGAATCCATTACACTAGTTGTCTTATCATTTACAGCCTCTCAGTTCAAGTCTGTCTGACATTAAGATCACATTGTAACGCTTTGTTGTAATCCTAAAGAGGTTTAGTAAAGTCGCCATATTTGGTGAATCTGTCAACATTATCGTGACTGAGCCTGTCCTAAAGATGAAGGCCCTTTTTGTGGTCGAGTTAACGTTTACGGGAAAAGATATATCCATAACCCCGCAAAAGCAGTAGGCAGAGGCGGTATACTGATTTCTTTGGTCTCTGCTGAGCTATGCATAACCTTTTACTTTAGCCGAACAAATAAAGCGAAGAGCACTGACCACTGGATACAGAAGTTCAAATATAAGTGCATATCCAAGAAAAAAGGTTGAATTTTAGATTTAAAATAAATCACTGTACAGTGAAGTTCAACAACACAAGCAGAAACTTAAACTTAAGTGTTTGCAACATGCAGTAAGTTGAGTTAGAAATTGCTATTTTATTTTTTCCAATTTTATTTTTATTGGCATCCAGAAATTTTACAGGAAGGAAATACAAAAAAATTCATGTCATGTCCGTTTTTTCAAATAACAGCATCACAGATTTCAGTGCATTATGTCAAAGCACTCCATTTCTTCTAGTGAATCCTGTATTATTTTACCTTACTACCCCTTTTCAGCCTTTAGAATTGATCACAGTGATGTGGCTTACAATCAGACAAAAACAAAAAAATGTGCATTGCTGGTATTAGCAGCGGTAATCCTTACTTTTGCTCAGCATCCAATTTACAAGATTCCAGGAAAATGTGCAAATAGAAATTGCTATTTTAAATTCAGATCTTCCCTGTAGGTCTTACATAGTATTTACTAGTTCCACCACACCACACCACAGCCATGTTTTTACAGGATAGAGCAACACAGTTTGTAACCTAAAATCTAAAATAATATCTGACCCAGCTAACGAGGTGTTAAGGACCATTCTTGTCGATAATGCACAACCAAGCGAGCATTAGAAGAAAAGGTGAGAAAGATTTTCACCTGCTTTTCAAAGTCAAGATTTAATGAAGCAAGATTACACACATCACTGCAGATCCAGACTAAGGGAATTACGCTGCGCTTCATTACCTGCAGGAAACACTTTCTTTTCACATTCTCCTATTATGTCTTGCCATGCTCTACAAGAGGCCAAATGGTTCCCGTGCTAACAGCAAATACCCCCTCATAACCATTCTTAAACCTACATGTTAACTCAGCTAGGTAGCAATAATTAACTCCTTAACTCTGCACACCTCTCAGCACAGCAGCATACACTGTAGGCAGGAAAGACCACTGTTAAATGTCAGGGCAGGATAAAGAGTGTCGTAGAAAAACTGTGATTCTGTCTGAGGAGTCATTACCGCTCCTCTGACCTATTGAGAGTTGTAGAGTAAGATCTCCAAAAGAAATGCCTCTGAAAGCTGCGGTTCCACCTCTGCACATTGGTTAGATCATAATCACGCTCTTATCTACCTAAGTGACTTTACTATCTCCATAAAATTGCAACTCGTGGGCTGTTTTTTAAGCAATTTAAGAAAGGTGTAAGTAAAGAGAAAAATAAACACAGCAATAAAACCCGTGATCATGAAAGCTTTCAGGTATTTGCCAACATGTTTCAGCTCATTGCTCTGCTTGTAAACAGGTTGTTTTTTATATTACAATGCATAGTGCTGAAGGGATGTGTATGGCTGATATACGGGCTGTTAAATCAGTGTGTGTTTACAGTGAGAATGAGTATGGAAATCAAAGCAAAGCATTAAATATTCAACATGAAATCTACTCAATAAAATAACCCAATAGTGTTAATGTACTCACTGAGATGCGTGTTTGCTACAGATGGTGTGTAGCCTGCCAGAACAATAAACTACTTCAGAAGAGGTGAAGTTAGAGCTCAACAGTACAATATTCTTTGCACAATAGCCATTGATCTCCTCCTGCTTTCTCCTCTCTGTTAGATCGGGATCTGGTACTCTAACAACACCCTTGCAATGAACTCCACCAGTCTGGATATCAATGTGTCAGAGACGCTGGCAAACAAGACCCTCATTGTCACCACCATACTGGTAAGGGTCACAGTTAGCTCCTGCACCAACTCGTCGGCCGGTTAGGTCAAAGTAGTTTTTTGTGTTGCACAGTCTGTGCTGCAGCTCACACTGTGTCGCAATCTGTTTCTGCTAATATTGCTGTCACTTTAGCTGTCATAGAAGCTGACAGAGCGCTCTCAGGGATGCGTTACTACATTCCAACCACCAATATCCTGCTCCAAACACATGAAGTTGTGTCATTCAGGAGTCATATCATCATCAAAACATCCTTTACATGAGGCTGCTCCGTCATCCTTAGGTTGATCCAGATTTATGAAATGTTACATCTGCCTCAATGTATGTTATAGAATATTATTTTTAAGAAAGACAATTTAAACAAATACATGAAAAAATGTAACAAACACCTAAAACAATATTGTCTTTGGTTGTAGCAGTCTCGCATATTCCGTGCCACATATGTTTGCTTTGTGAAATAATTCTTCCTTTAGGTCAAAACATTAGACTGTGACAGTAGCGTCTGTTGCCTCTGTTGGTTGCCTAGTTTTTCTGAGTCCACTGGCCAGACTGAGGTCACTGTGTATGTCTGCCTTCTTGGTTCTCTCACCTCCTTGTGCAGCACTTTTACACCAGCCAGTTTATGTATTTTAAAAGAGTACTCAGTTTACTATTGGACATCCATAATGTTGGGGGACTCACAGGAGACAGATTGAAAAAAAGTATTGTCTAAATTGATTCTACAGGAGCCAAAATATCCTGACTCTCTCTCCCATTACAAAGTTTTGGTCAAGGTCCAAAAAAGCTGAATCCTCCAATTCCCATGATGAAACTGAATATATCTTTTTTTTGTTAAGACTCTCCCTGCCTGCTTTAGTCCCATGTCTTGAAAACTCAGTGCCCTACTTTAAAGTCTGTCCAGCACTGTTTTGACAGACTGAGTAATGCACCCCATGGCAAATAAAACTGATTTGAATGTGTGAAATTGTCAGACATAACCTTTAAATAAATGTTATTTAATTTAATGGGAGACTCAAAATGCTTTAGAAAGAGTATGGTTTGTAAAAAAGGGACTCTTGCTTTGACGACATGACCAATAATACACTAAAAGCAGCTTGTGCTGGTAGATTGTTGAATGTTAAAGACGTAATTTGATATTTTTAGAAAGACACTTAGTCACTTTCTGCAAAGAGTCAGAAGAGAATATTGATACCATTCTCAGGTTAGCACTTTTATTGTTAGATTGACTTAACCTGACAAAAAGGCTGGAGTTTACATTTAAAACAAACTAAACTCTAAATTGTTAAAAAGGCAGATTTGAAGGTGGTGAAGGAGGTGATTTCTTTAACATTGGATAGGATCAGACAAGCTGTTTCAGCCTTTTTCTGTGTCATTTGAAGCTAATCAAATCCTGCTTGTAGCTTATTTAAGGGACTCATGAGATTGGTATTGATCTTTTCATCATCCTCTGCCTACGACCAAATAAGCATACATCCTGAAATGTCATTTAATCTACTATTGACACGTCTCTGTTTCTGAAACATTTCCGTTCATTATCCCACCTCCATCAGGATATTCTTAGATCTGGATTAACATCCCTTCTGTTCCCCTCATATTCAGGAGAACCCGTATGTGATGCGCAGAGACAACTACCAGGACTTTCAGGGCAATGACCAGTACGAGGGCTTCTGTGTTGACATGCTAAGGGAGCTGGCAGACACCTTAAAATTCTCCTTCAAGATCAAGCTGGTGGATGATGGGCTGTATGGTGCTCCAGAGCCCAACGGCTCTTGGACTGGAATGGTTGGAGAGCTTATCAACAGGGTGAGTACTCGCCTATTCCCGCCCTATTCTCGCTTTCTCTCTCTTACTGTCTCACACACACTACAGATACAGACACTCCTACCAGTGTCTCTACAAACACACACCAAAGCCTGCATGCACACTCCCACCCGCCCACACACACATACCCTGCTGTAGCCCCAAAGCACAACTCTGCTGTAACTCCCCATGTCTCAAATTGCCCTCAGAGGGGAATAAGTCTCTTATCTAGGACAAAAGCTGACTTGATAATTCCCTAAAAGAGAGCAGTAGCATTGCCTAAAATTGTCCGCACCATCTTTCCATGCAGTAACACTTTTCCATCCAAATAGCAGCACCACCCCCCACTCATTTTCTCTCTCTCTAGGCCGAGTGCGCCTCTGACAGACACTCTGGTTGAAGCAGGCTAATGAGAGCCCCTTTTTGCTTAATTACCATACGGTATACTTCAATTACCAGGCTGTGGTCCCTGTGTGGGGCCTGCCACACTGGTGCTCCCCCTGCTCTCCACGCTTCCTCTCTCTCCCTGCCCTCCCCATTGCATGATCACTCAGCTCTAATTAGCAGCCCATGTTCATCAATTAGCTTTTAATGGAAGAGATGGAGGGGAGGCAGAACGACCAGAGACCTGCAAGGGTTTTATAAAGGTACAGAGACCAGTCATCCAGTGCTTTGCTTGCAATTAGCCTCGTTTGCATGGTGGGTAAAGTGTGTGTGTTTCTGCCAAAAAGGAAAGGGACAGAGTGCATGTTCTGTATGATTTTCAAAATGTGCTTTCAAGTACACAGTCATATTTTTCATTTCTCATTCGGGAAGTCAACATTTTGCACAAACAGACCTCTCAGCATCAAGTGTCTTTCTATTTTTGCAGAGTTACCTGACCGCTTGCCATTTTTCTTCCTGACTCTCCTCAACTGCCTCGATCCTTCTCTCGCCCCCGCTACAATCTAACCACCTATCTATCTTTGTCAATCCCCAGAAAGCAGACCTGGCCGTGGCAGGCTTCACCATCACGTCGGAGAGAGAGAAAGTTATCGACTTCTCTAAGCCGTTCATGACCCTAGGGATCAGCATCTTGTACAGAGTTCAACTGGTGAGAGTGATACCAGATACAGATCTAATGTTTGATTTCATATCTTTGTTCTCACTGCCTTAAAGCTGATGGGGCCATACCGAAGACAACTGGCAACATTTTGTAGCTGATTCTTAACCAATCAAAATAAATATTTCAACAGAGTTGATCCCCTGTTTGAAGCTAAGGACTGTGTTTGTGTTGTAAGCTGCATCCACTCTGTCCACAGTGAAATTTATAGGTGTAATCTGAATTGTTCGATAAGTCAGTGCTCTGTAACTGGGTAACAGTGGCAGCTTTACATTGCTAATGAGCTTCTGGATCTCAGCCAAATGTGCTTCAGCAGCAGGCATTGTGAAACAGAGCATTTATGGATTGTAGCATTAGCGTATCAAAGCACTGCAGACTTACTATCAGAGTGCAGTGTAGGACACAGTGCCCTCCTGTGGTGCAAAGGAGGCATGACCTGACTGCTGAGATGTGACACGATGATTTCTTACACGCTGCACTTTCCTGTTTGTCTCTGTCTTTCTCGGTGGATCCTTCTTTCTCCTCGTCTTCCTTCTCTTCGCACCAGGGTCGGAAGCCAGGCTACTTCTCCTTCCTTGATCCTTTCTCTCCAGCTGTCTGGCTCTTCATGCTGCTCGCCTACCTGGCTGTCAGCTGCGTGCTCTTCCTGGCTGCAAGGTCCATACATTACATCACACACTGTCCTGATAGTCTGCAGCTCACATCCCTGCTCTATTACCATTTATCTTGTACAACATGGGTCGCCTGTCACATAACAGATTTTTTTTTTTTTTTTTACCTCAGACAACCTCCAGTAGACAGTTTGACAGGGATCATATGACTAATTTCCAGTGACTTGAATGATATGACAGAAGTACATTGCTGTGCTGCAGCGTGACCTCAAGGTCCTTACACTGTACATGTGTTTCACCGCCAGGCTGAGCCCCTACGAGTGGTACAACCCTCACCCGTGTCTGCGAGAACGCAGGGACATGTTGGAGAACCAGTACACCCTGGGAAACAGCCTGTGGTTCCCTGTGGGAGGTTTCATGCAGCAGGGATCAGAGATTATGCCCAGAGCTCTGTCCACCAGATGTGTTAGTGGAGTGTGGTGAGTTACTGGATGGGTACGCTTGTGCTGGTGTGTGCAACAGCCAGTTGGTATGAGAGTTTAAGTCCATAAAGCTATGTTCACTTTCATCTTCTGAAGGGAAGGTTTCTCTAGGCCAACATTAAATCTGGTTTAGAAATGTGTAAGAACAAGGTGACATCACAGCTAGTTTGAAAGCCAGTCATGTTTTAGTGTGTAGCTTACACAAGTATGATCTAAAGATCCAGTGCAAATGTACTCAGATTAGACTTTAGAAGTGAAGGAACTCCCTTACTATTTTTAAGCACCATTCAAGACACAAAATAGTCATTTTGTGATCCACATTTCAAGGATCCACATTTTCTCAAAAGCTCCCCTTAGACATGTATTTTAAAACAAATTAACAGACTTGCAACTTCTTCATGGAGAACTTGCATTTTTCCTGTGCGTTGCTTTTCTCTTTTGCACATCTGCTGCGTATGATAATGACATTTGCATTTTAAATTTCAAGCAAATAGCTGATGTATGGCTCAGTCCCGGGGCTCCAGCACTCCAAGCAAACAATACAAAAATGCTAAGTTCACAGAAATGCAAAAGCAGCCTGATGATACTCTTATGGCAACAGAGAAACTGTAAAAGAGACTTGTGCTTTGAAAAGAATCGCTAAGAGCTGAGGAGATAAAAAAACAAGGGTAGAGGAAGACAAGAGGAGCAATTTACACAGAGTGGGGGAAGATAAGAGATAGGCAGTATTATTATAAGTGTAGTACATGCAGGTTGTTCTTCTTCAATAAAGTTTTTAAACATGAAAGAGGGTCAGGAGAAAGTCCAATCCTCAAGGTTTTTGCGTGCTGATTGTTATCTATTAGTCCAGGAAACCTGAACCCTTCTCCTCACTTTACCTCAGAGATACAGGACATGCTGATAAATACTGTGGGCAAAAATAATTTAGATGTTAGAAACTCTCCTTTAAACATCTTTTGGTATCATAGGTCATTAAGGGCTATGTTTCAAATCAATGAGTAGGAATGATTGATTGTAGTGCTAGATGTATTTAATGCAACAATTTACTTTTATATACATTTTGTGTTCTAGAAATGCTTCTAGCAATAGTATGACAACAGATTTGATCCATGTCCCCCATCCCTGCATGTATACATTTCTCTCTCGTCTTCCCTTTGTCTCCCCCCCCCAATAGGTGGGCTTTCACCCTGATCATCATCTCCTCCTACACGGCCAACCTAGCAGCCTTCCTGACTGTGCAGAGGATGGAGGTCCCCATCGAGTCTCCTGACGACTTGGCTGACCAGACTAACATTGAGTATGGCACCATCCATGGAGGGAGCACCATGACCTTCTTCATGGTACAGCCCACACTAGCAGCTATTGTCCTTTTGTTTTTCAGTCTTTTGAATCAGTATATATCTCTTTGATTACGTATGTGTTTATCTGCATGGCAGTTGAATTGATTTAGAGTCAGACAATTTCCTGAAATGCATTGGTAACTAGAATTTTGCCGAAGTCTTTGCATATGTATGTGCCTGTATGGTTTTAATATTTTATCGCCATGCCTGGAGTGAGCGCCTGTCCTCAGATGTTACCATTTCTCTGAGTTTCTCTGTTGTTTTCTTTACGGCTGTTTGTGTTAAGTGGCTGACTGCCTGTGTTTGCTTATGAGAGCGCTTCTGGCATCTGTGTCGGCATCTGTGTTTGTCATAGAGCCCGCGCGTGTAAGTGTGTATGTTTGTGTAGGTGTGTTTGCACATGGGAGCATGTGTAGGTGAGTGTATAAAAAAATAAGCATTTGCTTATTTGTGAGAATACATGGGGAATGGCTACATGCCAAATAGTAAGTGTGTGTGTGTGTGTGTGTGTGTGTGTGTGTGTGTGTGTGTGTGTGTGTGTGTGCGCGCGCGCGTGTTTTATTCACGTGGTGTTTGCCCATATTGAGGTTATTTGAAAGACTACGTTTGCCTTCATGAGCCAGTTTCAATGCTACAGTACATTAACCCACTCATAGCCTAATCCACACACACACACAGACTTACAACACACTCATACAGAATGCACACGCAATTATTACACACAGCCCTCCTTCACATGCGCTACACACAGGGATACAACATGTAATTGTACTCTTTAAAAACGTAATCCTTTAAACAAGCTTGCCATATTTTTCTTAAGTGATGTACCACCTCCTGTGTGCTGATTTACCTCCAACTGCATGAAGGATGATGCATCAGCAGTGCCATGAGCGAGTAATCTGCTGCCTTAACGCGTCACTTTTCCCCCTCTGCTCTTTTCTCTCCTATTCTCCCTCTATTTGCCATTGATGTTTTACTCTGCTTGTCATAATTCACACTGGATTCTCTATTCTGCGAGCATTTCATCCCCTGTTTATCTGTTTTTTATTCTTCACTCTTTCATTTTTATCGACCTCCATTTGATTTCTGCTTCAAAGATGGATGATAGGACCTCGAGTATAAAAACATTCTGTAGGCATAGTTGAATTCCCGTTGTTGTTTTTTCCATTCCTCTACAGAACTCGAGATACCAGATCTACCAGCGCATGTGGAACTACATGAACTCCAAGCAGCCCAGTGTGTTTGTAAAAAGCACAGAGGAGGGCATCGCCCGTGTGGTCAACTCCAAGTACGCCTTCCTGATGGAGAGCACCATGAACGAGTACCACCGCGGCCTCAACTGCAATCTCACGAAGATCGGTGGCCTGCTGGACACAAAGGGCTACGGCATCGGCATGCCACTGGGTAATCATTCGTGTTATTGAATATCAATGTTGACTTGATTCTGATTGGTCAATAACAGCATCCAGTATGCTTGTTAATTCTTCTTATCAATACTTTCCTGTGAAAAAACTGACAGTTGAAATAGATGCAGAAAAATACAAGATCGAGTCAGAGTCCTGTCCTTTCTGTGACAACAACCCGTTCCCTGTACATTATCCTTTACATAATGAACCCTGTACATTATCCTTTACATAATGAACCCTGTACATTATCCTTTACATAATGAACCCCTCCCTGTACATTATCCTTTACATAATGAACCCCTCCCTGTACATTATCCTTTACATAATGAACCCCTCCTTGTACATTATCCTTTACATAATGAACCCTGTACATTATCCTTTACATAATGAACCCCTCCCTGTACATTATCCTTTACATAATGAACCCCTCCTTGTACATTATCCTTTACATAATGAACCCCTCCCTGTACATTATCCTTTACATAATGAACCCCTCCCTGTACATTATCCTTTACATAATGAACCCCTCCTTGTACATTATCCTCTACATTATCCCCTTTTAAAACACAAAATATTGTTTTTCAAACAAAACTTGAGTTTTAATTCCAGATGATTATATCTAGGTAATAACTTTAAATGGAAAATATGTATTGAATTAATTTCATCAAACACGTTAATATCCCCGTCATAGATAATTATTCAGTCATTTTTCACTGAACTAGTTTGTGTTGTAACCATAACAAACAGGCAAAATACTGAATGAAAATCATAAAGGAAAGGAGAAATTATCACCAGTCCTTGAAGACTATAAATAGGTTCTGAGAACATCAATATTGATTTAGTCAGTGTCATTTTCAGGCAGGGCATTTCAAAGCCTACAAGCCCCTACAGCAGACACTCAATCTCTTTTTCTCTGTGCGCCTCGGCTGACATGCTTGCAGTTTTAAGGCAATGATCGGCCTTGTCTTTGGTGTAAAGGTCACAGAAGGTCACGAGCATGGTTGTCATGTCTTTGAATTGACATATAATTTATCAATAAAGGCCTGAAGTCTACTGGAAAAATAACAGCAGGCAACCAGCGCAGCAAAAACACTGCTGCAGTATTTCACCACAGCTTGTGAATTCAGGCAAACATATTTCAAACAACATATCAAATAATGAGTGCTTCTATGAGTTATTTTTCTTATCGCAAAGATTACTGAAATGTTCAAGAGAAAACACAACCGAGCAGCGGTTTAGGGATCCATGTGAAGCTTTAAACAGAAGTAAGAGTCTGTGCCTAAACTTTTATTGTTGTGTTTCCTTTAGAAGCAACACCTTTTCAGCCCATCCAAAAGAGTTTCCTTTATTAGAATGGTTTGGTTGAATACAATTTTTGTAGGTGTATACTGTATATATATATATATAAGTAAAATATCATAGGAAAAAAAAAATGATTGCAGAATTGAATTGAATTTTCCATCCCTGTGTTTAAGGTTGTATGTCTAGTGGTATGGGCAGAAACTCTGCGAACTCATGATACCATTACAGAGTTTGTTTTAAGATGTTTTATTGCAGTAGTAGAGCAGTGGATTCAAAATGAAAGGATGAGAAAGTGCACCACATGCAGCTAAAGAGGCAGGTGAAACATAATGAGTACAGGCACACTCAGTCATTAAACTGTTATGACACAGATTTACAGTAATTAAAAAATGTAATGATGACATGTTTAATTAAAACTGTGTAAAAATGCTGATCTTAAGGACCTTGTCTAGAGACCTAATCAAAGACAAAACTCACTTTGCTGTCATTGAGGCAGAAACACCTTCATGAGATCAATTATGCTAAACAGACACATGTAGTAGTACTGATTGGTGAGAGATTAGATCTGAGAAATGTCTTGTACGTGGTTGATTTATTTTTTATCTTAGGGATTAGTAAGTATTTCAACTGGAAGTAATGAACATCCAGTTAATTGCTTTTCCACACACGTCAGACTCCTCTGAAGCTCCAGCTCTGCACATCGGAGTGATCTTTTCAAACCAGGAGGAAGAGGGCATGACCAGAGAGAGAGAGGCAGAAAGTGAGATTTAGACAACCAAAGGTGTGGGGAAGATAAGAGAAAGTTAGCAAACACAGATGTGACGAAAATGAGAGAATTTAGGACCACAAAAACATCCATTAGGAAACCTCAGAGTTTTACCTTCTCAATACAGATTCTGAGTGTGAGATGATACCGCCTTTCTGTCGGATTTGAGTGTGATAATACATTTTAAATATGACCATTATTTAAAGCTCTGACCTTGTATGGATGTGATCATTGATGTATAGCCTGACTCAGCACACTGAATAACTTAAAATCAAGCTGAGCTAAAGAGCTGCATATACATGTTTTAAATTTGAATTACTGAGCTATTACCTAAATTTGTTTTCTTAGTCCATCAGGCTACATTTCCACTTGGTTAACATTCTCATGCTCTTGTTTCTGTTCTCTTGTTTCAAATGTCAAGGGCTTTACAAATAAATTGTGTTTTCATAATTATTATCATTCATGTTGGATCAAAGACCAAAGCAATTTTCAACAGGTTTCATTTTAATAGTCTTTCTTCTTGCTGAAAGTAGGTCATATGAAAAAAAGTTCACATTGAGGTCTCCTGATTGTCTTCATTACTAGATAAACAAAGGTCGCTGAGAGAATTGATTTGAATTTTCAGGAGAAATAACCCTTAAACCTCTCCATAGTCCTAAGCATGCTTTGAATGCTGTCTGACCAGCAGCTGTACCACAGGCTCTGTCGGGATGTAATCTCACTCTTTATCTCTCTCTAATCCTCTCTTTATTCTCACAGTAAGATCACTCGTAGCCATCTCAAGCCTGAAACAGCAAGTCTTTCCTATGGATTCCTTCTCTTTTTCTTTGATGCTTTCTTCATTTCACTTTTTTCTCTTCCTCTGAAAGAATCGCTTTCTTGTTCAGCCTCTTTTTCTACTACCTCATTCATCCCCCGCCACTTGCTCTTAGCCTGCTTTCTGTCATTTGCCAGGGTCTCCGTTCAGAGATGAGATCACGCTGGCCATCCTCCAGCTGCAGGAGAATAACAGGCTGGAGATACTGAAGAGGAGGTGGTGGGAGGGAGGCCAATGTCCCAAAGAGGAGGACCACCGTGCCAAGGGTCAGTCGACCGCAGCTGTCTGCCTCCTCTCCCTCTTTCTCTCTAATGTCCTCAGTAATAGTCTCCTCACTCCCTGCTACAGTCCAGCTAATGGCTAATGCCTAACCTAATGTCCTTGTGAAGGGTGCTTAGCACAATCTACTCTCCCAAATGTTTCGTGTTTGTCTCAGGTGGTGTTTAATGGGAATTTTATTAGAGTGAGTGTGTCTGTTCACATGTGTGTGGTAAACGTGCATGTGTGTGTGTGTGTCTATCTGTGCCTGATAAACGGGCATGTGTGTGTGTGTCTATCTGTGCCTGATAAACGGGCGTGTGTGTGTGTGTCTATCTGTGCCTGATAAACGGGCGTGTGTGTGTGTCTATCTGTGCCTGATAAACGGGCATGTGTGTGTGTGTCTATCTGTGCCTGATTAAACGACAATGAAACTGCCACAGTATTCACTCTGCTAAGGCTGCTGCTGTCAAATAAAATTCTCTTTTCAAAGTGGGTTCTGTAACTTTAAAAAAAGAGAAGAGATTTCGCACCTTACTTTCAGCCTCATTGAGTTCCATCTGCAACGTGTATCTCAAACGTTTTAGTGCACTTTAATTCTGGCATTGACTCAGCCACTTTATCATGGGCAATTTAATTTTTTTAATCCATTTGAGAAAGCACTCTAGCAGGTTAGCATTGCACTTGCATAAAGTCAAGATACTTTCAAGAGGCAGGTTTAAAAGGAACAGTTAAAAATCAGAGCTGCAGAGGCTGAGGATTCCAGATTTTTAGTTCCTAATATGAGTCAGGTCCAAAGAATAATTGGTTGAACACTTGCACCCCCTTAATTAGAAAGACGAGTGTCTCTTAAACACACCCTTCAATTTTCTGCTGGACTGTCCGTCAAAAACTTTTTGTTCTCCCAACCAAAGCCAACAATGAGAACATTATTTTTAGGAAGTCATTATGGGATATGCCCTTTTTTAATCCCTCCCAGAGACGAGTCCCATACAAATATTTTCACTGGATATAATGTACTCCGTATAAGCCAAGTGGGAAAAAAGCCATTTGAACCCTGTCGTTGTGCTTCTGCATATGATGTGTGCTTATATTTGTCTCCTGTGGCTTCTCCCCCTCCAGGTCTGGGCATGGAGAACATTGGGGGCATCTTTGTGGTGCTGATCTGTGGCCTCATCATTGCCGTGTTCGTGGCCATAATGGAGTTTGTGTGGTCGACACGCCGCTCGGCAGAGACAGATGAGGTATGCCCCCATACCTGCCCTCGCCGACCCCACAGACACACCCCAGTAGGTTCCCATGGCATCCCGCCAACCCTTTAAATTATTATGTTTTGTGTGAGTGTGAGAGAGGGAAAGTGTGTAGACTTTTCAGCTTTTGCCTCCATTTGTTTGTGTTGTGTGTGCTGTTACATTTGAGGTTATGCGCATGTGAGATGAAAGGAATGTTCAAGTATGCGGCACTGATCTGCTGTAGTGTCCAAAATGTAAACGACATAGATATTTCCCTTTGCATGTCCTGCCTGTTCTGAAGTCAGTGTGCCCTTTTTGGTGTTTAACAGCAAGTGTTTGTGAGCTAGACTTGATGGTACGGATAAGCAATATTGAGAAATGCCAATATTTGCTTGCATAAAGAAGTAGTGTGATCTTTTTTCCCTGGCATTAAATGTCATGATGTATCTTCTTTTACATGCCTCACATGTACGCTGGTATTCTTCGTTTCCATTCTTGGACTACCTCTCACCCATCTCACTGTGTGTCTCCTTTTGTCTCTCTCTCTCAAACACACACCTCCATCAGTGTCTGTTCTCCGATAATGAGTACTGTTTCTGTTTATGTGAGCACATGAATTTTGATTATGATTTAATGAGAATGTTGTTTGTCTGTAGTTGACGTGTTGATGCATTTTGTCCTTCATGTGTGCAGTAGTGGCAATGACGAAAAAAAAACGATTTGTGGGTGTGTGCACAGCTGCTGTATGCGTGAGTGTGCCTTTGTGTATGTGCACCTGAGTGTAAAGGCCTGCCTGTTTGTTCATAGTGCATAGTGTCATGATGAAGTGCCCATGAACTAAACAACATTTTGGTGTCCTGTGTGTTTGGATTGTAATAACTCTCTCTGCTCCTTGGATATTCTCCCATCTCTATCCATCTCTACGTCCTGCCCCATCAACTCCTCTTTTCTCTTTTCAATCCTCCATCTGTTGATCTCTGTGCCCTCGCTTCTCTTGCGACTTTTTGTTTACCATGCTTTACCGTGTCTGTTCTTTCTGCCTTGTTCCTGCCTTGTTCTTCTTTTGTTTTGCTCTTCCTTTCGATTTCCTTGTTTCTCCTCCGCTCTCCTATTTATGTACTGCCTTACCACTGTCTTGTTCTGCTGCCTGCCTTCTTTGTGTCTTTGGCGCCCCTCCTTCCCTTCCGTCTCTCCTTCCTCCTTCGTTGATCCTTCTAGGTGTCTGTCTGTCGGGAAATGATCACAGAGTTTCGAAACGCCGTCTCCTGTAAGAAGAGCTCCCGAATGCGCCGCCGTCGGCCCCTCAGCAGCTCGGCAGCCATGCGCCACCCTACACGCATATCTCTAGGGGCCCCCCGGCCTCTGCGTCTGGTCCGGGAGATGCGCCTCAGCAACGGGAAACTCTACAGTGGAGTTGGAGGTGGAGGAGGTGGGGCAGGAGGGACAAGCCCTTCTGATCTGGGACCTGGGCCTCAGCGGATCCTGGAAGATCCCCTGGGTGCCAACACCACCCCTCCTCCACCAGCCCCGACCCCTGTAATGCTGCCGGCTCGCAGCTGCACCCACGTTCGGATCTGCCAGGAGTGCCGGAGGATCCAGAACCTGAGGTCAGGGACAAGTTTAGGATCAACCACAACCAGAATACCACCTTCATCAGCACCTCTGCCCAGGCTACCCCCGCCCCCACCTCAATCCTCATCCAACACAGACAGTGAGGGCGGAGGGGGGGCCCAGCCCAAGACGGCACCACCACAGCCCTCCTCCTCATACACCTCGGCCCATTCCACCGCCACAGAACAGCAACACCACAGACCTGCTAGGAGAGCAGGACTGAGACGCAGTGGGCGGGGTGAGTGTGACTGGTGATGAGGTGGCGGATGAATATTTGTGCTGATGAGAGAAACTCTGCTCAAAGAGGGAGAGGAGGAGGGAATAAAACTCTGCAAGCTGATAGAAAATGAGACGACCTTTAAAAGGGGAATAAACAGGAAAAACTGTTAACCTTTCTCATGATGAGCCTGAGGCCGACAGAACCAGAACTGGCTACAAGCAGGCTGTGAGACGGTCGTCAATAAATCTTCTAAAATCGACTCAGAGCAACAGTTAAGTTTGGACAAATCTGAGTGAAAACACATGACCAAGTGATGGTTTCAGCTTGCCTCCTTTCTCTCCTAGCTCCCCCCCCCCTCCCCTCACCTTTAGATTTGAGGGTGCTGGTTTTCTTCCACAGTCACGCCCCTGGAAAATAACTACCGCCTCTAGTAAAATGAAGCCTTGATGGAGGACATACTGTATCTGTATGTGATTTAAATCTAAGCAACTAAAAGACTTCCAGAGAAATATTTCCTGTTGTTTTTTTCTTTTGTTGTCTTTTTCTTGTTTTGTTACCATTGTTCAAAGTGGGAATTTCAGAGTTAAATACAGACTATGTGTGACAGTATGGTGGATTATAACATGCTAAGAAACATGACTGTGCTTTGTGCCCCTCCCTGTGCCCCATGGCTGCTTTTTGGATGCTATCAGAAAGGATGGATGAACAACTTTAAGGCTAAATGATGCAAATAGTAGCAGATGAAACTGTCAATCTACCTATCTTTACACTGTGTGTGTGTGTGTGTCTGTAAAAATGTTTACTTCCTGTAGGTCTGTCTGTTACTACTCAAAATGAGGAGGAACATGTACCCAGCAACAGCACCCGACTACAAATCAGACCGCCACCAAAAGAGTTAGAGAGCAAGAGGCTTTGAAATGTGAAATTAATGTCTCTCGTTATCCTGGTAACGCTTGCCAAGCCTTTACTTCTTTTTTCACCTCTGTTCACACAGCCTAGAAGAGATAGAGACCGGGCGAGGCAAAGGCAGAGACAGAGAGGCAAGATAGGGAGAAACAGAAAGAGAGTAGATAGAAGGAATCAGAGAGTGAAAAGGACACTACTGAATCTGAATGAGAAATCCCTAACTGAACTACTTCCATTATTAGATCTGTCCTGATCTGTTAATTCTGGGCATCTTTTAAGGGGCTTGTTAATGCGCCAGTGGGCTGTAGCTGCAGCGTCTTCTCTTTCCTCCGTTTAACACACAGACTTGGCCGTCCACAGCACAGACTCCTGCCAGAGTGATAGACTCAACATAGCCTTGTCAATACTGTCTCGAGCTTTTGATCGCCTAATTACTCCCCTCGGTGGCTGGGGACTCATTCAGGAGGGGGGACTGAACACAGGGAAACATGCTGATAAATAGATTTAAAAGAAATGCAGGTTTTTTCACTCTGACTGGGAAGCAATGCTGGTCTCTTTTAATTATGCTGTTAAAGTTACAGCACTAACTCTGTGTGAAACTAAAACAATCTAAATGCTTCAGTATATTAGCCACGGTGCTTAAAGGGAATACACTGGTGGATTTGTGGATTTTAGCCCTTAAGCTTCAAATTGTGTACACTTTAATTGTTGATAAAAATTCAAAGCATACCACATGTTTAGCCACAGACTTCAAATCCCCCATAGCGACTGCTTTTACAACATGATAGACACATTTGGTTCAGATATCTGGTCCATCAAAAGGCACGTTCGGGGGCGCTGGTAGTCTAGTGCTTACTGCGCACGCCCCATGTACTGTACAGAGGAAGTCCTCCTCTGACCTGTGGCTCCTTTCCCCACACTCTCTCTCTCTCTCTCTCTCTCTCACTCTCTCATTTGTGACTCTAATCACTGTCCTGTCCCTGAATTAAGGCATAAAAAGCCCAAAAATAAATCTTTTAAAAAAAAAGCACATAACAGGATCAAGATATACTGTATATCTCTGAACTTTAGTAAAAGCAGTGAACCAAAGTAAGGATAGATTTGTGACTAATAAGTAGCTAAAGCTTCATATTCTTCTTTGCTATCCACCTCCATAGTTTCACATAAATTAGTTAAATAATTGCACTGGTCAAACATTTGTGTTTAATATGAAAACTACAGTGCCTAGCTGTTTAAAAAACAATCAACGTAAGACAGTGTATGTGTCTCCAACTGGCGAGAGTCAGGGACCAAATGAGCTGTTGGCTAGTAAAAGGCTGGGGAAGAACTGAGACGAACTTACACACTGACATTGATTTTAATGGATTTGTCGACTATAAAAAAGTATCACCAGCCTTATCCTGTCAGCTTTATTTAGACACCATTGCCCTCCCATTATTGCTCATTTGAAGGCAGATCAATCATCGTATTAATCCAAATGGTATTAAGCTCTTGGCCTCATTGACTTTCAGGACTCTACATAAAACAGATTAGATCACTATCGATCCAAACAGTGAGCTGCAATCAACTTATTTACACAAAGTCATGACAAATAGCAGGTGTCGAATCAGGCTACTACAGCATGAGCTTTACAAACACCTCCCCCGGTGGAGCTTTTATATGAGGGAGCTGCTTTCTGTGTGGTGAACGTCCCCCTATCAGAAAGTGTCAAACAGTATCAGCAGTGTTATGTCTCCTGACACTTTCTACAATAGCCTATAATCTTTCATGTTATGTTTATTTCTATTTGACATCATTATCAACTGCAGTATTAGCATTTTCTGCACCGCAGGTCACTGACTCATCAGTGTCTCAGTGTTCATTCAATCAGTTACCTAATCACTTCCTAAAATATGCACTGTGGAGTGACTCACTACTCACTGAACAAGAAGAGGTTATATATTCACACCCTTAGCTACAGTGCTGTAAGTGTACTTCTACTTAAGTTGGGGGTGTTCAGGGAAAAGCTAACATCAATATTCAAAGCGTAAATATTACATTTTCAATGCAACCGATCTGTGAAATCCCACAATCCTTTTCAGTGTCACGAGTTTTAATGACTGTGGTGGTTTTTAACACTTGGGTCTTGCACCTCTTGCACACGTTTTTCTTCTCTTAACACTGATAGTTTCAAATGCCAGTTTCCCATTTTTTCTCTCTCTCTGATAACCTCTTGACATTCATGAGTGTCCTCCAAAACACGCTGAGGAATTATTGCAGCACTGTCGACTTGATCCCTCACTGGCTTCTCATCCATTCACATTCAGCAGTTATACAAAGTATGAGAGGAAACACACAAAACCACCAGTTCAGTCCTTTTTTAAGTCAAAGTGTGAAATGATGTATTTCTTAGCTGTGGAACACATTTGTTGAAACTCTAACTTTATCCAGCTCTTTCTGTCTTGACTTGTTGCGTCTCTTTCTCTCCGTTATTTCTTCCTTTTGTGTTAGAATGACGACAAAACAACAGCTGTGAAACACTTTTCCAGAATAAGTCACTGCACACACACAAGCTCATTAACAAAGACACACGACTAATTGGATTCTGATTTTCCTTTCTTCTCTAAAGACTACACATTCACTGTTTGTTTTGTTGTTTTCAAATTTGTCTTCAGAGTCCTTCTTCCATGTCTTTTTTTACGTGTAAAAATTCAAAAACTTTTTATTTTATTTGTGACAGTACCACGGAGCCAAAAAGTGGCTATCAACTAAACCATCAGCTGAAATTAGCTGCAAAGCATTATCGAAGGGAGCCAAAGAGAAGCCAAAATATCAGCTGTGTGAATAGGAAAGGGAAGGGAGGGTCACAAAACAAATCAGACGGGGTGTCTGAACGTCACTCCGCAAAACAAACCTTTTATGTTTACTTTTATGTTCTTTTCTTTGGTATTTTTTCATATTTCTATACTAGTGCTAAATGGATTATTAAAACTGATGATGAATATTATGATTAAATTGTTGTTATTATTCCTATTGAAGAGCAAGAGGTTCTATAGTCTAACTGTGGTGTGGTGACGGGTGGGAGTGGGAGGTGCAGGGATGAAGGTGCAATGATGTTCTTCAGAGAGACTGCCCTGTTGTTCAAACCTATAGACACACAGACTACTTTTGGAATAAAAAACATTCAAACAGTCCCACAGTGGCACGGCTCTTTGCTTTCTGAGGGGAAGGTTTGCTGAGTTTGTTTTACTCGTGTCTGAGTGTTATGATTTACTGAAACACTGTCAGCATACCAGATGTGGAAGATGCAGTCGGATACTGATGTATTTCTCATGAAGCTAGGGAGGGAATAGATTTCAGAGAGGCAGATTGCGTCATTCAAAGTTTTTTTATGTAACTATAAGAAATATAATTTTCTAAAAAAAAAAAAAAAAAAAAAGCATTAGGAATACCAGGAAAACCACTCTTTCCTCATTGTTTCAACACATTGACACAACTTTTAAATCAGGGCTCTTTAATGCCTGTTAGACTCCACATCTTTGAAGTTGTCTCCTCAACCTTGTTACAAAAAAAAAAAAAACTTGTTACCTTGATCATCCATTTTTAGCATCTCCAGTTGCAACTACAATCCACTTTGTGTTAGCCTGCCTCTGATTTCTAATGGCTAATTTAAAAAAGCACAGATAATGCTGATATGAATTTGTAAAATAATAATATAATATTGGCACTTCGTCAATCCAAAGCAAAACCGTCAACCTCATGGTGGCGCTACAGGATAAACAGAGCACCACCAAAGTTAGTCGGAGTCATCATTTGGGGACCGTTAAAATCTGTAAATGTCTGAAAAACACATCAATGAGCCACAATGTTGAATTTGGTATCTTGCTTCTTGATTATAATTGACATGATTTTTGATTATCAATCATGAGCACAGACAAGCTTCTTTAAATAATCTCTAAAAGTGAGTGAATCCACGCCTGGAAATAGTAGAACTGGCAAACTGGCAAAACAACACAACATCGAAAGTTTAATCTACAATTTAAAGACATATTCTCAGTCAAACTGTGAGCTCATCTTCTTCAGTCACTCATCACTGGACCGTCTGTATCTGAAATGCAGAAGAGCTACTATCAAGGCAACTGAAACTAATACTGATACATGTCAATGTCAGTGTAGACATGATGATCGACCACATCCTTACGTCTGAGAAAAGGACAAAAATTACCAAAAGGTTCTTTTTAGTGTGATTTTAACTAACTAGACTCACTTCTTCTTTTGACATTAAAGGATTGAATTCAATCAAAATCAACAATGATTATGTAGAGGATAAACATTTAGTTATTTAAAATAGTTTACTACTGTAATGATTAAAGAAAATATATAACACTTCATGATGTGTCTACATCCAGCTACTTAAAATACAAACCAGACTCACACACACACACACATACACACACACACACACACACACACACACACACACACACACACACACACACACACACACACACACACACACACACACACACACACACACACACACACACACACACACACACACACACACACACACACACACACACACCTTGTTTTGATGATGATGCAGCAAGTTGTGGCTGCTATGGTCGCTACTATCAGGAAAAACACACCAGCAACAATCAGCTTTGTTAATAACATCGGCGATACCGGCGTCAACATTGGTTCTGGAAAAGTTGAAAACACGATCAACTCCAAGTTAGGAAAAGTATTTACATTTATTACGAGACATATACAAGTGTACAAAGCTCATTTATTTGTACGCATCTTAAGACAGTTCATGATATATGACTTTCTTAAAATTATAACAGTATAACACATTTATTAAGTTTAACAAACTGTACATTTAAATGTGCTGTAGGCTACTGTTTTATAACCTGAATATTCACATAATTCTCTTTACAGTCAAATTCTTCATCATCTTCGTGCTAAAGCCCTTTTCTTTTTTTAAAGTTTTTTAAACCAGCTTTTAATGTCAACCCTCACTTGCTTTTGAACTCAGGCCTCTTTGTTCCATTTAAATGTGTTTCCCTTTTTATTTATGCTTTCCGCTACATTTTAATTTTTTCCATTAAGCCTTCACTAATGGGATACTCACCTTGTATGATAGAGGCAAAAAGATACAGGAGAACAAAATTCACAAAAAAAAAAAAAAAAAAGTGGTTTTGTACTCACCTTTGACAACAAGGGTGGTGGTTCCTTCCAATATACCACTAGGAAAGGCTGAAAGGCTACAGGTATAGGACCCTGCGTCTCTCATTTTCACATCTCTAATGATCAGAGATTGTTCTGAAATCTCCACTCTGTCCTTCAGAAATGCATCTTTAACAGTAAATTGCTCTCTACTATTAAAAACAATAATGGGAGATTTCTGAACAGTTTGGCTGTTGGAGCTTCCACTCAACTTGAGAAATGTTTTCTGCTCTATTTTCGATGAGTGGACAAGACAGGGTGACATCATGGCCGACGTATCCAGTCACTTCAGGCTGAGCTTTGATTTCTCCTGCATTAAGACCTGTCAGAAAAAACAGTTGTGAAAATATCACATGCAGAGCTGTACTTACTGTTTGAAGATTCTTGAACTTCACTTGAGTAACTTAATTTAAAAAAGCATAGTAATTATAATTCATATCAATGGAGCCTTTTTTTTTTTTAGGTTTGCTCCATGTTATGAGTTACATTAGGGACGAAGGCTGATCATTTATAGAGTACACTATCCAACTATGCAGATACGTACAACTGACTTAACCAGTTGAACATATCCAAGCACATGAGCTCTTTAATGTATTAGTAATAACACAATGATCACAACACATCAGAGCTCATACTTTGTTTTAAATCCTTCTAATGTCAGTTTTGAATGCAGAAGTTGGCTTGTAGTTCAGTATATTTTAAGTTTCATGTTGACTGTAATGCTATCGTAAAATATCTCAAAACTTCTTCGCCATTCTCAGAATTTCATAAATATCCAACATGTAGTGTCTTGTCTTACCTCTGATTGTGATGTAAATGAGCCACAGAAGGAGTGATCGGCTGCACACTTTCATTGTGCCCAATAGCAGAGTTCAACAAACTGACAGAAAGAAAACATCTTTGTGTTTTAACAGTTGTGTCTTCTTCAAACTGCAATCCACCGGCCTCATTGATTTCCTGTCTTACAAAATTTCCTGTTGCACATGAGGTGTGTTTCATATGTTGAAAGTGTTCAGAGAAGGGCTTCAGTGTTGTTGAATAAAAGAAGAAATGATGCCTGACAACTTGTAAGGTCTCAACATAAAAGTGAGGATTTTATAAAAATAATTTCAGTCCAGCAATTTACCACAACATGTGACTGACAGCAGACCACCTGACAGATTGTGAGGCTCATTTGTTGTAACAGAGAAATATGCCAATGCTTTTTTAAAGAAAAGAATTGCTTACACGTATACTGTATGATCAACTGATAAGACATCTGTTACCTCAAAACACTATTCTTTCTTATCTTTCTGATCTGCTTCCTGTCATGACAGAACTCTGCAGCACAAGAAGAAAATGATGCACCATGGACAAGGGAGAGGTCTGTGAAAATGTAAAACTTTATCCCACATCAACAACCACAAACGAAACAGTTATGTTTGAAAGATAAAGTGAGAACAATCTACAGGTCTGTGCATTTGATTTAAAAAAACAAGACTGAAATGCATTTCTTACATGAACTGAAATCAAAGTTTTAAATAACTGACTTTTAGTATAAGACAATTTAAGCCTCATAATTGAAACAGAAATGAAACATAACACCAACGTACAAGCGTTAGCATCTCAACCCAGCATCAGACACAATTTCACACCCACAGCCTCTCACTGCCAGTAAATGCTGCTGTAAACTATGAAAATAGAAAGTGACTGTTAGCATTCATGGATCATGATCATGTAAGACTTTGCAAAACATAGTTTGTCACCTTTTTACAGTTGACTCGCTCAGACTGCAACACCTGCGTACAGTATTCTGAAATCAACACTGAACATTGATCTGCAGAAAGGACTGTAAGCAGACAAGAGTACAGAGTAAACAATATTGAGAAGTGTCTGTGCATTTAAATCTATACAGTATTACATCATAATAAGTATTTCTTGTTTTTTATCCAAAGAAAAAGACAGGATAAGGAAAGAAGAAGTGAGAACATAAGAGACATAAGAGAATATTCACAATAATTCCAACCATCCTCTCTGACTGATAAACACTTCACCCGTTATGAGGATCACATGCACACAGCAATTTACTTAAGACAAAAAGTATATCATGGCCATCATGAAAATGACCACATTTAGAGTCCCTTTTGAATTCCCCAAACACCCGCAGCTCTGGCCCTTTTTTAAAATGCAACACTAGGGTCAATTTGTGTGCAAATTTCATCTTCCTTTTTGACCTTCCTCCTTTGACGTTCAGACAATGAAAGAGGAACAAAAACTGTGAGTGATGAGCTCTACTAGCATGGTAATAATGTTGAGACAGGAACTGCACCTGTCTGTGTGACAAGTAGTTAATGTGACACTTTGGCAGATCGATAAAGTAGCTTATTTACCTGATACATCAATAAAACAGTCTTCATTACATGATTACATTCTCATGCAGAATGATGCACTGATGGCTCGGATATATTCGGGTGTTTGCTGTTTTATTTGATTGAGCCGGAGATCGTCTGTGCCAAGCTGAGCTGTGAGCCGAAGTTATTATCATTAACAAAAACCGAATGAAGGAACACAACCTAGAATGTCATAAACATTTTCATTAACAAAAATAAAAACGAGGCTTACCAAAAATTGATAACTGATTCTGAGTATGTTGTGCGGATACTGAATCCAAACACTGATTGACACATGTGGTTTGTCCTTCGTGGATGGTCTTGGATATTCATCTTTTGTAGCCTGTTTGAATAGATTTTTCTAAATGCTTTTGAGTTTTTATCACACAATGTATCCTGTGGCCCTTTCGAGTCTCACCCCAGACAGGTATCACATACAACAAAGTAATACATTCACAAAGCAGCATCAGGAAAAACTAAAACTAAACAGAAACTGGTGCGCTAGACAGACTGTAGCATTAAACCACATGCCCCATGTAGCCTACGGAGGTTGTATAGTCCCTGAAGCCAGCAGCCCGGGTTTGACTCCAACCCCGGGCACTATGCCACATGTCACTCCCCACTCTCTCATCCTGCACTCTACCCATTACAATACAGTGTCAACAAGCCTAAAAATAATCTGAAAAACAACAACAAATAAACTAAACTAAAATTGACAACGAAAACTCAAAAGAAATGAAAGGAAAATACTAAAACATTCAAAACTATTACAACCTCGCTGTTACATGTAGCAACTGAGGTCTGCTCAAATGTCTCACCACACAGCAAGGCATGGGGAAAAGAAGGAAGAAAGGTTTTTCACTTCCACTTTTAATATTAAAAGCATCTTTGGGGTTGCTAGTTGTTGCCTATTCTTAGTTAACATCATACACGCTTGAAAGGCTCTGCAGAGGAAACGTTATGTCGTTCAAACTGAGACGTGTGACTTTTTCTCTAGAGCCATCAATATGTCGACACTTACTCTGACAAATATCTTGACGTCTACTGTACGGATTGACTTCACTACAGAAATTCATAGTGCCCAGAGCATGTACTGAAAAAAAACTTTGATCTTTAATCATCTTTTCCCATCCGTTTCTCTAAGCTTCGATTTTTTTTTTCTATCATTTACATTTCTTTGACAAATGACCTGCAAAGCTTTAGACATTCCTCTCAGCCTCAGCTGTACTTTGTATTTAGCGCTGATTTAAAAATATTAGCACACATGAAACATTTTACAACACATTGAAACACTAAACCCTGAAGGTAAACCTAAAAAGAATGACACCAGTTTTAACTGCACTCTTGTCATTTTACACCTGTTATTTATAAATATTGTATGTATTCATTCTTTGTACAGTATCGTTCTTATTCAAATGAGGAAATGTCCTGAATAATTCCTCAGTGTTTACATAAGGTTGAATAGATAATACATAGATACAGTATAATGTTTCCTGTGATCTTAAACAGCGGCTGTGATTCCGTAGAGGACAAAAAGGTTGTGTTTGGTTTGAAGAGGTTTTAATTTGTTAAAAGCTTTCAGGATGCTGAGATTCTACTTAATGACACCAACATGCGGGGAACACATTAACTTACATACAGCTGCTTTAAGAGCATTTTTCTGAAGTCCTCCATGAGTCCAAGAAAAGTCCTTCAGCATTACTGCAGCATACATTTGATCTCATTTAGAACCTACTTGAAACCAGGACCTCGGAGTACGTGACATCATCAACATGCATGCTCTGTGTGTGTCTGTCATTGGAGAAAGGATCAGCGACTCTTTTCGGTTTGCACTTGACGTCAGAATAGACCAAATCCTACAGGTGTGAGAGAGAGAGAGAGTCATGATGGAGAGTTTGTTGATCAGTTATATTAATCAACAATTCAACTTAAAGTGATTCCATTTAAATCAAGAGATGTGCTTTCACTCCCGTTCTGAGCTCACCTGCTCTTTCACAATAAAAGACGGCCTGGCCACATCCCTCACTGGACCATCAGTATCTGAAAGACAGACAGATTTTAGGCAACGATCCTGAAGCTAACTAAAAAAAGAAGTCTCAAAAATATATTCATCATGTGCTATAAATGGATGGAGTGAAGAGGAGCTTTTGTTCTCACCAATGAAGACCTGCTGTCTGACAAAAGAAGCCGGTCTGAATAAAAAGATCCAAAGTGCTGTGGTTAGTTTCTCTGCACTTTAAAATATATTTAAAAAATAAACTACATTCTCATATTTAATAAATGATCCTGGATCAAACCACCATACTTTGTTTATATTTTTCTGATCTCGAGAATTTTACTCAATCTCAGTTCAAACTTCTTTTTTAAATATCTCTTTAAAACGTGTTTTCAAAGAGAAAGGATACGATCGCTATTTGAATGATACATTAAAATTCACAAATAAAGTTTTGGGACAAAAATTAATGAATGCATTTTATGAAAAAGAAAAGGAAATCTATGCAACTTCAAAAATGTCCCTTAAAACTAAATTGAAAACAATATTGCAAAAGTGTTAAGAAATTCTACCTCCCTGATAATAAAAACAAAAACATGACGCACTTTTTTTTCAATACACAGATCAGAGTAACCCACCATCTTAATAAGTTTGTTTTTCTTTCCTAAAATTATATTATCATCATCAGCATCCTGCAAACTTTCTATGCAGATGCGAGCCCAAAGTGAAAACTTCATCAGCGTATGGGAAACTGTTTGATATCGCAGAAGACGGAGGTGATGTTAGAAATAAGTATTAAATGGTTGATGAGAGCTCCCAAATCTTTCAACTTTTCCAACATATCCATTTATCACAACAGTTTCACTCCAACATTGACATACCTTGGTATGTGTAAAATATGCATAGTTCAAACTCATAAGCGCACAAGCATACCTTTTGATGAAGACGAGGTAAGCTACAGCTAACAGGATCACTGACAGTAGCAGGACAGAGATCACGATAGCAGAAATCTCACCTGATGATAAATGTGTCCCATCTGGGAGAACAAACATGAAGGTGAATCACAGTGTGTGTGTGTATTGTTGAATTATTGTACGTGGTTTATACTCTCGTGGTTCTTTTACCAATGTTGAATTAAAAAGCTCACCTAGGACAACAAGGGTGGTGGTTCCTTCCAATATACCACTAGGAAAGGCTGAAAGGCTACAGGTGTAGGACCCTGCGTCTCTCATTTTCACATCTCTAATGATCAGAGATTGTTCTGAAATCTCCACTCTGTCCTTCAGAAATGTATCTTTAACAGTAAATTGCTCTCTACTAATAAAAACAATAATGGAGATTTCTGAACAGTTTGGCTGTTGGAGCTTCCACTCAACTTGAGAAATGTTTTCTGCTCTATTTTTGATGAGTGGACAAGGCAGGGTGACATCATGGCCGACGTATCCAGTCACTTCAGGCTGAGCTTTGATTTGTCCTGCATTAAGACCTGTCAGAAAAAAAGGGGTATTATGATGGCAGGAGATTTGTAGTCTGGTTAAACAGTGCACATCAAACATAATTTAGTGGTGATGATCAGACTTATGTATCTGCTCAAACAGAGAAGCTGTTGTAGCCCTGGGCTCTGAAAGGTGAGTGTATAAAAGGGGAAGTTTCCGCCTAACCAAAAATCTAATTATAAACTATAGATACCAAACTTTTATCTCATAAGTTTAAATCTTATCTATGGTTGTTAATTCTTGTGTTTTTTTTAAATTTTGCCTGTTGTGGAGGAATTCGGTTCAACTCCTGTGTTTTTTAAATGTTCTTTAAAGTGACTTGACATGAACTTAATCAATGTTAGCCAGCCCAAACGTGTTCCTCCTACATCTGCACCTAATCAAGCTTGAAACAACACCTCAGCGTAGTTTTGAATATGTTGTTTTACCTGGAAGTACTGTGACATACATCAACTCCAGCAGAAGTAGAGATGTGATGTATTTCATTGTAACACTAGAAAGGTGGACAGACACACGGTAGGAGGATGGACCTACAGTGGGACATTAACAAAGCATTTGACGCGCCAGATTTCACAGCATTAACAATATATTTTAACTCTACGTGTTGCTCTGAAGAGGAATTCATAATTGATTGATTGATTGATATCAACATAAATCAAACTTACAGCGTTTCAAGGACGAAGTTCCGTGCCTGGTGCATTAGTCCAAACACAAAACAGGTTAGAAGTGTGGCAACGACAGAGAAGTATGACATGACGCAAAAAAAAAAAAAAAAAACATTATCAGTAAAGAGGAACATCAGTCTGATTGGTCCATCCATCACTCATCCATCACTCATTGATCACTCATTGATGGACAACTATTGCAGCACTTATCTCCTACAAAAGTGACCAAACGGACACAAAAAAATAAAATAAACGATAAAATAATTACCTAGGCTACGTTTGAATAAAGTGTGAAAACATTTAGGCTACCATATTTTAAATGTATTTTTATCAGGACAAGGTACCAGGAAGAAGAAGAAGAAGAAGAAGAGCATGACTGCGGCTGAAAGCATTTCTCCCTCTCTCAGCACTTCCTCCAGGAATTAAATCTCCATAAACGTGTTTCTCTTTTGTGTTCAAGTGAGCAGTCAGCACGTTTGCCGACTTGTTTTTCTGGTTTTCGCATGTAAAACACCCACCAGTAGAACAGCGACCTCTTGTGGTTAAAACATGAAAATTATTTTATAAAGCCATGCCTTCACAGTAGGCCTACCTCTTATTGAGCCAGGAGTGCAATTTATCGTTTGAACAAAGCAGCTCCATTTTAAGAAGCCTAAGTGAGTTTGTTTTCATTTTGGTGAATCAAAGTCTCACATTTTGGTGTAGTGGGTTGCATTGCACCTCTAAGTTCATCCCAGTAAAAAAAAAAGCGACAAAGAGACAAAAACAACACACGTGAACATTTTTGTAGATTTCTTGGAGATGAACTACAGAGAGTCGTTAACATTGCCCTGATTCTGTGTGTGATGTGTTATTTCATATTTAACAATTAATCTCTTTGTTTCCCGTTCTGTGTAGGAGGAAATTATAGTCACATTTAGATCACTCACTGTCGGAGGGTGAGCTGTTTCCTGTCCTTTATTGATTTGATATTTAAAGAAAAAGGTTTTGAAGGAAGTTTAGATGTAAGATTGAGTTGAACCATGTTTTTCAAGAGTAGACAAAAAGATGGTCCTGAAGTCTGACACTATTAAAACAGGAAAACAGTGTATACCGCTGGAGAGCATCATCACAGTATCTGCAAGATTATAATTGTTTTTATAATTCATTTTTCTTCAGTTTGCATTTAAATAACTATTCAATACTTGTTGAACACTTTGAAGAGGTCAAACTAAAGATTTCACTGAATGTGACTAAAAAACCATTAGTATAGTTAATAGAACACACTGCAGTATTGGTCCATTGCAACACTAATCAATAAGTTTAAATTGAAAGTTGCAGTTCACTTCACTCCACTGCTTTTTGCTTTGGTGAATTATGGATTCTGTCTATTTTTGAAAATTAACTTAAGAATATTAAATCAGGCGAATATTTGTTTGTGTGTCTTCAAATGAATGCAGTGTTGTTAAGCATTTAGCTCAAATATCTGTATCAAAGGTGCCTAATAATATTGTTATTATTGCTGCTATCATTGTTAGTACCAGAAGATGGGTTATTATTTCACATGATATAGAAAAAAACAACATATTTTGCTTTTAGCTATACATGTGAATGTTCTTGATAGACTGTTATAAACACCTTTCGCCTCAGAAGAGGTTTCTGACCAGCTCCTGCAGCCACATGTGGAAGAGTCCTTGGGCAAGACACTGAACCCCAAAATTGCTCCCACTGTGTGACTGTGAATGGATGGAATAAGTTGTGTGATACTGATGGACATTTTACACAGCACCCTCTGCCATCAGAGTGAGTATGTGGTGTGAATGAGTGAATGTGACCTGTGGTGTAAAAACACTTTGTCAGAGGACTAGAAAAGTACTATACAAGCTCAAGCCCTTCACACCATTCATGGTGTTTGAGAACTGTTGATTCTGAAAGAAACTGAGAACGCAGACATCTTGAATGACTTTATAACCATTGAAGGAAGCTGATGCAACACCTGTCACTTTGAACAGACATGACCACCATGTGTGGTCAGTTGGTAAAGAAACAGCTCAAATAGTTAGACAGTTTAGATGCTGAAAAATGACGGTGTGAGTGAACAGAACGGCATAAAGACGAGCAGTGTGTTCATTTAAAATCCTCGCATCAGTGACCTTTGTGTCAAACCTCCTGAAGGAAGCTACGTCTGAGAAGATGTGATAATTATCTCCGCCAATCAGAGTCTCCAGCTGATGAGCCTCAGGTGTTGATCAGGGTAATCAGGTCAGGGATGCAGAGCTTCGCCTGTTGCAGCTGGTTGAACTCAGCTTGTTGCCTGCATGTAAATGACTGGTCTACAGGGCGAGACAGGAATAACAACTGCAGCAGGCACAGATCTGCATCCAGAGCTGCAACCCTCCAAGGACACAATGGTGGGGCTTTAAATATCCTGAATGTGATAGTGAAACCTAATTTAAAAAAAGTGTGCAAACCAACACAGCTCTGTGTCTAAATTCTGGTTTCAGTGTATATTTCATGAGATAAACTTCCCCTAGATAAAATATAATAAAACTCTCGTTAGGATGGTCAACATGTTGGGATGTTACAAAGAACATTTTTTACTCACATACTTGATTTTCTTTTTTTCCTCCCTGCCATAACTTTGCTACATGATCATTTGTGCTGTTACCATGTGGGATTAATGTGGGGTCTTTATAAATAATAATATAATAATAATGATATAAAGTATTAAACAGAGAGTATGGTCTAGACCTGCTCTTTTCGTAAAGTGTCACATGATACCATTTGTTATGAATTGGCGCTCTACAAATAAAGCTTGAATGATTGAGGTCACTTGCTGCTGCATAACTGCATCAACAATTTCTATCACCACACTAGTTAAAAAGTGATCCAGAATGAACAAACACTTCATCAAATGCCTACATTTCTTTTGTGCTGTAAACAGGACAGATTCGGTCGTCTCTTTAGAGAGATCATCATTCATTTCTGGGCTAAGAATAAAAAGTTCATAGATTGTTTTTTTATTATTCATGATATACTGATATATAATACAATTTTATATGCAGGGGGGGGTAAAAAACCAACAACCATTCCTGTGTATCAACATCCTCATACAATTTGATCTAAACTCTGATGAATACTACTGACACTTTCAAGCAGAAGGGAACAAGTGCTGTACGTAAACACAGAGAAAATAAATTCTGGTTCAAAACTCAGATCTGAGTCTCTGGGTTTCAATAAGAGATAATTGGGGGTGGTGGGGGTGGTGGACCTACATCTACAGTACAGGGACAGAACAAGCTTCACCTCTGTGTCCTTCGGTCAAAAACAGGAGCTAGTGTCTGACTGTGGAAAAGATAATAAAGGTGCTTTCATTCTTTAAATAAATGTTAAAACATATATGTTTATTGTCACTCTTTCATACAAATACATGCATATATAACTCACATTAAAAGTCGATTATCCAGCTGTATGATATTTCCTGAGCAATACAATTAGAATGCAATTTTTAGTGACTCGTGATGTCACTTTTATTCTCTTTGTGACATTTCTGACATAGATTTCCAAAAGTTTATATCATTAACAGGTTTGATTATTGGTTAGTCCTGTGTGAGACTTTCTACTTTGTCTTATTATTGTCAAGCTGAAGTATCAAAGTCCCTGGGGTCACAATTAAATTGCTTCTAGAGCACATTTTGGTTGATTAAATTCATGGTCCTCAGTCAAAAGCAAAATTATCAGGGAGGCTGGACTCTGAAAGAAAAAAAGAATATAAAAAACAATTCTTAATAGTTAAGTGAAACATGAACAATATGGCAGATATCTAGTCAATCGTTTCTCTCACCTGCTACTTTCTCTCACATTAACCCTCTCAGGGCCAGCGAGCAGATCAGCAGCACTGAAAAGGACCAGCAGGGGGCAGTGCAGGATGCTTCAAGAAACAAAGGAGATATTAATACTTAAAAGGCAACGTTTCTTTAAAATATATGATAGCCCCACCACCACTCAACACACAAACAAAAACAATGTACATATTTAGTGAACAACTCTCACCTCTCAGGTACAGATTTGTGGAGTTTTCCAGCATGGTCACCATGTTTCTGGCAGTGCAGGTGTAATTCCCGATGCTGTCTTCCTCCAGCCTCTCTATGATGTAAGCAGAGTCTTTAACATGAGTCTCGTTGCCGTTGAACGTCCACCTGAAGTTTGCTGGCGGGACAGAGTCTGCCGTGCACTGTAGAGCCACTCTGTGGCCCGGGGCTGCTGCTGACGGCCCGGATATTGAAATGTTATGAGGTCCAACTACATGAATGACATATAAGAATTTAAGAGTTCAGACCGTAATGCCTTTAATAATTAGAGAAATGTGAGAGATTATTTCTAAATACTTCAGGTAGGAGTACTGACAGTTAACAGTGAGGTTATAAGCCACGGTCATGGTGCTGACAGGGTTGCTGACTCGACACTGGTAGGTGCCATGGTTGGAGCTGTGAACAGGTTGTATGAACACCGTCCTGTTGTCTAAGGAGAGACGGACTCGGTCACTCTGAAGGAGAGGCCAGCCGTCCTTCATCCACTCTCTGGTGCTCACGGAGCCTGAGGCCTCGCAGGTCAGGTTGGTGGAGCTTTTGTCTTCGATCAAGATGGCTGCTGGGCTGCGGATGGTGGCTCCAGAGACCAAAACTGGCAGGACAAAGAGTATCACTCCAATGAGGAAGAATTAGTGCATTAAAGGAGCAGAAAACACAGACATTTTGTATCTGGATAATTAGATTTAAACATGGCTAAAGCGGTACAGTGAGACTTTATTCAAACATGGCTTTTTCATTCACTTATTTGAGTGAAGTTGAGCTGACTGTCCCTGCTTATGGCATAAACCAACTTAATTTATAGCGTAAGTGAAAAGAAAATCAGATTTTTCTTTCTATTCTGTGTGTGTGTTTTCAAAACAGTCCTAATGGGAGCTTTACTGCATTTTTTTATTCATATTATTTGTGACTCAATTAAATAAAACCTATTAATCATTGAATCATGGACTTTAGTGCATATAAACAGGAAAAGTTGTTTAAAATGTTTTGTCTATTTGACTTCTTCAAATCATGCGATATCAAGAAAATGAAATTAATGCCAAGATTCTTGTTTTGAAATTGTTTAATAGAATGAATTACATCAATAAAATGTCCTTTAAAGGCAGAAATCATAAGAGGTGATTTTTTTAGATAGTTGTTCAACCCACCATACACACTGAGTGTGATCTTCCCCTGTTTCTGAAGCCCTCCGTCTGGTATGATGGTGACTGTGTACTCCCCGCTGTCCTCCAACACCAGGTTCCTGAGCTCCAGCGAGCCCGTGGCTCGGTCTAATGAGATCCTGTTGGCGTGTCCGGGCTCAGTGATGTTGGTGCTGGTGGAGGTGATGATGTTAATCCCTTTGAAGCTCCAGCTGACGGAGAGGAAGGGACTCTCTGGAGGTCTGAGGGTGGTGGTGAACTTCACTTTGCCTGCCACAGCACCACTCAGGGGTCCAGCTGGTAAGATACCCTCAGCAATGCACGTACCTACGACCGAGAAACAAACAGTTATGGCCCAAGGAGATCAGACAACAAAACTCAATTCATCATGCGGCTCATTGAATGTTTGAATCGAAAGTACCTGCTAAGAAAAGCATCAAACAAGCAGCAGTCCTGAGCGCCTCGTTCTCCATGGTGAATAAAAACATTCACGTTGACTCTCTGTTCTCTCTAAAATGAGAAACATGGAGACACTACTGCTCTTATATTGACCCACACCTACAGCACAGGGTCAAATTCACCCCCCCCAGACATGAAACACACACACACACACACACACACACACACACACACACACACACACACACACACACACACACACTGTTTACGATGCCACTGTGTACATACACCAAAGACGCCCTTCGGTGTATGTTCAGTCAGGATCGAGTCACCAAGACTAACTGATGAACTCTGAAGGACTCGTGGTTTTTGTCTTTGATCAGACAAATAGAGATCAGTGAAAGGAACAACTTTATTTATTTTTTGCTTTAAACTTGTAACTGCATAAATAAAGAGAGATGTAAGAACAGTGTAAAAGATCAGATCACTACAAGTAATCCCCTGACATGACATTTGTAAATCTTTGAGTATGTTTGCCCCTTATTCTCTAAGTTCAAATCCATAATAACCCATAATAAACATGAAATCAAACATCATTTTACCGTTTTGTCTACTTTTATTATGATTAACATCTCTTCATATTCAAAGCACCAGAGCGTGTTATTAGCGACAGTTTGATCAGATTCATTGGTGATGCACAAAAACAAGAATCAGATACAGCTGTGACCAAACAGTTGCAAGTATCAGCAGTTTAGTTATACATGTAACGAGATATGAATAAGTTCTTGTACATGAATTATTATTTTTAAACTAGCTAAACTATACTTAGTGCCCATATAGTGTTGCTTTGATCAAAAATCTTTGCCTACTTCATTTGACTTGGACCAGTAGTGGCTTGATCATCATCTCTTATTACTGAGCAAGAGGACTTCCAATGATTTTGTAATTCAATATTAAATTAAGGTGAATCATTTATTAGTTACACATTAAATAAAGGTCCCTGAAGATAAGGACATCACCTCCAGGACAACAGCCATATAAAGTGAGCTGAAGATGCTTAAACGGGCAGAGCCTTCATATTCAAATAGAAGTCTCTACATCAGATATAAAAATGGAGTAGTGGTCAAAACAACATATGTTTTCAGGGTTTATTTTATACATTGAAGTGCAGCAAAAGTGTGAGTCACTGTGATGGGGGGTGTGTGTCGTGCATTACTTTTTATGAGCTCTTCAGTGAGTGGTTTTGGGTCTGGGTCATGTTTGAGGAGCTGCAGTGAGCCGAGGCATTCCTGTGAGAGGAGGATCAAAGACACATGAGACAATCGGACTCCTTCAGACCACTTTACAAACACCGCTTCAGGGTCTGCAGATACACTGACATTTTTTAAATGGCTCTTAATTGTTTTTTTAAAATTGTATTATTATTATTATTTTTTTTTAAATAACCTCTATCAAGATTAAACAGTACAATCATGCCTATTTAAAAACTGTTGGGGGAAACCATCAAATTAGCTGGAACAATGAGGTATTCAATCGGTGCCACTTCTCTATATTTCCCAATGGTGAATGTTCAATATGGGATGTGAAACTCCAGTCAGGGATGTGTTACAGACAGATATGCTGTTTTAGTGGAGGCGCTGCACACATAATGTTATACAACCAAAGCATGAAATAATGACAAAAATGAGATAACCCAAACATTTTAACATTTTCTCTTCTGATTTGTCAGTTGATCTGAGAAACATCGCAAAGCTAATTATGTAAAAGTCTCTGATTATTGTTTTAAAGATAGCTTTGTCTTTCTCTAAGTAGCTCTGTTGGAATATATATCTCTTAAAAGACACTCTAATTTAAGTAACTTGGATGAATTTCACAATAAAGCTGAATACAGAAACTCGATTTTTATGTGATACAACACTCATTCTTTACATAGGGAGTCTTCTGGGAGTATTTATGGGCTCTGAGTGGATTCTTTGACTGTAAATAAGACACAGTGTACATTAGTTTACTGTAATGTACACGGAAGAGCACATTTCAACAGATTGACGCAGTTTGCATTCAAAACCAAACCTGTTTTTTTCATCCATTTATCCATTATCTTCCGCTTTTTCAATAGAAGAGCTCCGTCAGTAGTCTCAGTGTTCTGTTTTGAAAGGTTTTCTGGTAAAAAGAAAACTTGTACTCCTACGCATTTTAAGACTTTTATGGTTTTATGATTTATTTGATTTGACTATTTAAATGTTTCCCTTTTCACATGTTCTTGAACAATGCAATCTTGTATCTTAAACTGGTCAAGAAAACAGCAGATCTACATAATTTAGTAAAAAATGTTTGAATTATGAAAGACAAGATGCAAGTGTTGCTTTTATTAACAGCACTTCTACTATTTTAATCATTTAATTACTAAGCACATCAAATTACCAACCCATACTAAAAACACAAACACATCCAAACAAATCCAATGTGGCCAATGTAAATTTAACAGTAAACATTTCTTTATTCTTTCTTTTGATTGTGAGGAAATGTCATATGTTTAAGTAAACATTCAGAGTGCAAAGAAACAGCTATAAAAACGTTACACTTCAAACTTTACATGAGAGAGAAACAGTCTTTTTTCCAAAAGCAATTTTGAGAATCTTAAAGCTTGTTTGGTTGTTTCTTCCCCATATATCAGCTGTTTACAATTTGTTGTTTGAATACAACAAGAGAATCAAACCAAATATCACTGTAGTCGTTTACTCAACTTAGAAAGTACACAAGAGATAAAAACAAGTGTTCTTTCACTGCCTCAATAATCAGGCACCAACATAAAACGCAAACACATTTACCACTTTTTTCTTCTTGGCAAATAAACAAGAAATGTTCAATTCCTTAATTTTTACAACTGCAAAAAAAAAGATAGATTAGCTATTTTCAAATAAATATGTTTTATGCTAATATAACATTATATGAACATGGGCCTAAACTCTTAAACCTGAGTGAATAATCAGCCAGCTTTAAATCATTTAAATTATGTGATGCTGCTGTCTGAATTTCATGTTGTTGAGCTCCTCTGCCTCCAATTCCCGAAAAAGGAAATGAATGCAGCTTTAAGCACATTCATATTGCTGGAAGTCTAACAAAAACTGTTTCAGAAACATTCGCTGTCCTGTTAGATTCAAATTTCATTTGTGACTGACTTATAAAGAACATGTATAAAACATAAGTAAAGGTAGGAGAGAAGAAGACTTAATCTGTAAAACAATTCTTCTCTTTGTGGTGGTGAAGGTTTACAAGTGGACTTCTTTCTGATCATCTGCAGGACAAACGACAGATTCAAGTTTAGAGTTGCAGTAACCATGAGCTGAATGTTGAACTGGCTGTGTAGTGGTTGATTCAGTGGAAATACATCTATCCTCTTCTTGGAGTGAGTTACAACTTACCTTAAAAGGTAGAGACCGTTGATCTTAGGCATTACTTTTCCTTGAAGCGTTCTCATACACAGTTTCATAAATATGTTCTTCTTGTTTTGGTTCTTCTAGTTGTACTGAAACTGAAAGTGCTTTTGTTACACTACACAGCTTATGTACTTTTCTCTATATAACCATTATATCTCAGATAAAAACTTACTTGGCCTATTGTGTTGTTGTCTTGGCTCCTCCAGGTTTTTCTGCACTCTATATTTGGAAAAACAGTATTGTTTATTTTGTAAAACAAATACTCAGATACATACTTAAACAATATATCATTTTGGGTGTTGTTCATGTGTGGTGGTGTAAGCTTGTCAATTATAATTACAATTACAAACACCAGAATCAAAACTGCAAACCATTCAAGAAATACATAAACATGCTGACCAGTAAAAAACTGTTACGTAATTTTACTCACTTCTTCTTATAAATAAAGTATCCTTAACCTTGCATTGCTTCAGTGGCGATGTATGAATGGATTAGTGTTGTACTTACTCTCTGATGTATGTCGCTTTGGATAAAAGCGTCTGCTAAGTGCATTATAACATTGTAACATGTTACTTTAACATACCAAAGGTAAGGTTGCTCTATTTTGCTTGTGGCATTTTGGCTTAAAATCTGAATGAAGATCTGTAGTTATTTCAAAGCTTCTGTACTTTTTAATAATATCGGTCGTTAAATGGAGACTGTAGCACACTAATATCAGATGGAGTATGGAAGTAAAGAACATTTTGACAACCTTACTAATGGAAAATGGCATTTTTCAATCCCCAGACTAAATCTCCTCTGATTCACACCATTGATTGATGGACAATATTCAGTACGCTCGTGTCTTCTCAGATCCCGACTCTCCCTTCTGTTTTGCAGAAATCTTTGGCTTTACACCACCTCCATTTTTACATCTTCTGAGCTGCACACTTGTAATAAAATTTAACTCTCCTCCAGTCACTTTCAATTTTGAGTGTTTGAGCAACGCTCTTTAACTACACAAACCCATCACTGTGTTTTTAAACTTCTGCCCTTTGTGCCTGCTTCATAAGCGGATAAGTCTTCCTAACTCTCTGGTAGGCTGGCTGGTATAAACTTCAATAGTTTTCTAACAACTAGTAATAATGAACTATTACATTCAAACACACTGGGATGAAAAAACAAGCTTTCCCAGTTACATTTCAAAGACCTTTTAACTTACTTATTTTTGTAGATAAAGTATCCTGCAGCAGCAGCTGCTCCAGGGATCACCAAACATGCAATTACTATTCCAGCGATACAACCACCACTACAGCTTGATGGTACTGGAAAGGTAAGAAAAGAGGAGGACAAGAACATATTCTGTAAACAGAAACTGTGCCATACTAACAGCAGATACAAAGCATTCATTGACTTCCCCTGATTTCTACCGACAGATTATTTATGCACTATGGGTAATGAACCAGATTCAGTTTTAACAAGGGAAATGAATGCTTGGAATAAAAACCACAAAATCTCCCGACCTCTTATCATTAATTTGCGTACTATTTTAAGAACTTTAATTCTCACAATTTCAATCTGTAGAAGTGCATTTCTAAATTTGATTACTTTCAGAGAATAGCCTAGTGCATGAGCTCCATATACAGAGTCTATAGTCCTCCAAGCCGGTAGCTCGTGTTTAAATCTGACCTGTGGCTGCTTTTCCTCATGTCTTCCTCACTCATTTCCTACTCTATCCATTGTCCTATAATAAAGGCCAAAAGCCCACAAACAATCAATCTTTAAAGCCTCATGAACTGAAAATAGATCAGACACATTTAATTGGTCAAATTGATCTCAAAGACATGTCACACCAACAGAATCTACAATAAACACCGTCTTGTTACCTATTACAGTCACTCCATGCACTGAAGAAGATGATCTTCCAGTTATGTTATTTTTTGCTTGACAGATGTAGTTTCCACTGTCAGACGCTTCAGCGTTCTTTTAGTGTACTCAGGAGAATTGAGTATCTCTGTCCCATTCAGTAACCAGGTGAAGTTTGCAGGTGGTTCAGACTCGGCCTCACAGGTTAATGTGAAGGTGTCTCCCAAAGATATGTGATGCTGGCCTTTGATTTGAGTGTTTTCCGGTCCGTCTGAAAAACAGTTATAGTTTATTGACGTAAAAAATCTTAATCAATGTGTAACAGGTAAAAATAAGTTGTGTTTGTGCAGATTTGTATTATGACGCTCATTATTTTTGAACAGTTAATGAGTACAGTAGTTTGTCACCTACAGTTCACAACCAAGACGTGTTTAGCTTCCATTGAGTTGATGGGGTTGCTGATATTACAGGAATATTCTCCTCTGTCTGTTTTTTTTAGATGTTGAAAAGACAGAACTCTGTTGTTATCGTAAAGTATAATGTCAGCTTGAGTTAGATCAGATCCATCCTTCATCCACTTTCTGGTAAACACGGAGCCAGCAGCGTCACAGGTTAAATTGACAGAGTTCCCCTCTATTGCCTCCTCTGGTGATTGTGTGATGAAATGATTTGATATTCTCTCTGTTGGACAAAAGATCACAAACACTTTTTAAATGTATGTAGAACAAAAACACAGGTTCAGCTATAGATTAACAATCAATTTAAATATTCAACATCAACAAGGACTTTGAGCTTTTCCATGAAATGTGTTTTCTATCTAATTGAATGTCATTGTTTAAAAGGTTTCACCTCAAGTCTTAATGAAATCTTTTAACCCGTAGTAACTTCTCTGCCAGCTTGGGGGCATTGGAAACAAGACTTAAAAACACAACATTTTTATCAATGTTGGAAAACTAACATCAAATTACTAGTTAGGTAATGCTATAACTACACACCATTCATTTCTGAATGATATTACTGATGTAATGAGTATTAGTATGAATGTAAATACTAAAAATGTGTGATGGATACACTGAGCACAAACCAGACAGGATGAGCTCAGCTGTCAGACTCACTCTGCATGTTAAATGGTTACACCTTATCATATCTGATGACTGGTTCTTGGTGCAATGATTAACCAGTGTTGGAGCCTCTTCCCTATTCACTATCAGCACTGGTAAACTGTTTGTTAATTGTTAGCCGAACAAACAGACACAATTGGAAAACTATTATCTAAACTCCAAACAAAACAAAGAGAGATTTGTGAAAGGATTTATACTTGGTGGGTTAAATAGATCATAATTAAGAGTTCCCGTTTCAGCACATGAAGTATTCTTGACCTTAAAAACGAGTTAAAGAAAAAAGGAACTGTTTATTTAAAGTTATGTTACTTCCTGTCCCCCAGGCTTTTACCCAATCTCTGATTGTGTTATACTATACTGCTCTTACTCTTTACAGAACTTTTAGCTTTTATTTACAGAGGTCACTTTTAATCATCACTTGTCAATTTAACTTTTGCCACTCACTTCACATACTTTCAAAATTGTCCTGTATAGTTCATTTCACTATTTATATTCTTCTTGTATATAACTCCTGTTTTTGTTTTATTTGTAATTTTTTGACCTATTATGTTTTGATTTTTTATTACCTATTTCTCTTCTCTTATTGTTCATTCATGTTTATGTATTCATGTGTGACATTTATTCATTTGTAAGAGTTAAGTAAATGTGTATATTATATTTTCTTAAACAGGAACTGAAAACATAAACATAACATTGATCATAAATTATCCAAAGTGCAACAGTTAGACTGAAAGGCTTTAAAACACAAGGCCTAAGATATATAGATCATAGGAGGACTTTGTAGGTGTGGTTGATCAGATATGATTGACGTTTCTAGTTTTAAAATAATAGCAAACAAAGTTATGAAACAAAAACAATACATCTCAGATTTTAAATTAAATCTTCCAAAAACTTGATGGTAGTAATAAAGGTGCTGATGTAACATCGAGCCCTGCACCACAATGGACTTTAATTCTACATGTGTTTACTATTTTTGTCATATATTATGTAAAAAAAATATATACATTAATCACATTGAAACATACTAAATCGTACTTAAGGAAGTGTATTGCATTTACATAAGAAGATACAAATCTGCTCTGTTTCCCTGAATTCATGAGATTATATCTCCAAATTACAAGATAGCTTTTCATGACAAAGTTGATTTTGATCTGTGTTTTCATAATTCTGAGACAATTATCTTGTTAATTCAGGAAAACAAGAAATTGAATTATCTCGTGAATTAAAACACTTCTGTAGAAACATACTTGACTGTTTCAGATGGGATGCTTTATATTCAATAGACTATCTGTCACACATTTTATATGACTCCACTGAACACCTAAACACACCTGTTTATTTTTTTGCATTAATTGCTGTGCATAATCTCCATTCAGCACTCTAACAGATGTATCAAGTGAAACATTGTCTTACCATAAACTCTCAGTGTGGTTCTGCCTTCAAACTCACTCCCAGTCGTAACCCTGACTATGTATTCTCCACTGTCATTGAGAGACAGACTCCTGAGCTCCAGAGATCCAGTAGAGGGGAAGAAGGTGATTCTTCCCTCATATCCAGGAGAAGTGTAGTTTTGAATATTTGAAACGATTATATTTTTGTCCCCAAACTTCCAGTTAGTTGTTGCAAATGGACTCTCTGGTGGATTCACTGTGGTAAACATCACTGTCCCTCCAACAGCTCCATTTAGAGGACCATCTGGCAACAAACCAACTCCACTAGTTAAACCTGGAAGACACAGAAACATTTCAGAAATTGACTTTAAGGGGATTGTGATAATAGCAATTATTCCACAGCATCTGATAGAGATTCAAACTAAAACAGGCCCTCTGTTCTTAATGAAGGAAATCATTTCTGCTTTTTGAAGAGGTTGAAGTCAAACTTGAATCAATGATTAACACAAGGCTGGTTTCAGGTCTTTTGTTGTAATGTAATGCAGTGCTTTTATTATTTGATGCTTTCTCTTTCAAAACCCAAACATTGACATGTCCATTAAGGAAAATACAAAAAGAACAGTTGGTCAAACACTTTCAGATAGCCTGCGATATACAGTACATGTTTTTATACATTAGGTTAAAGTTTCTATTCATAATATCTACATTGACAGAAGACAATTATTTCCTTGAAAGTAAATTGCTCTCTGGTCATACATTTGATATACTGAATATTAGTGTAGCCAATAAAAGTACAATTAAATCAGATTAGTTAAATGTTCTTAAGTCTTGTTTTTTAGCCAGGCTGTACTGAGTTTGAACTGTTTGCTAACTACTTTGAAGCAAGCAGATATTTTTCCAGCCATGGGATCTATATGATGTTGTTGAAAGAAGATATTGATCATTTCCATTTCCTCAAACAAATGATAAATACCAGTTTATGTGACAAAATCTTTCTGTGTGTCCTTGAGTAAGCTGATGGAAAATCTTTATGTATGTGCTGTATCATGGTGATAACTTACCTGAAAAGACTCCCAGGAGGATGCTGATCACAGCTTTTTCCATTTTTTCCAACGTCCCGTCAAGTGTAACAGAGAAAAGAGTGATGTTTCACACTTCTGACCAAGCCCTAAAGGATGAGTGAGTATCAGAATGTGAATTTTGATTATGATGGTCGTATAAGGAAGTAATGTCTAATGTGATTTGTGTTCATATGTCTGCATCAGGAGTGAATCAATCATTTACCTAATTTGAACTTTGAAACAGCAAAGCAGTGGAGAAAACACCCGTTGACAAAGAGAAGGTGATGATATGCATAACTGCAGCATTAAGTGTAGAGGAAATGGACCTAAGGGGGTTTGATGGCATTGGGTCTGGAGGACAGGTGGTGGGCCGAGAGTCTAATACAGACTGAGACACTTTGTCCTCAGTCAGAGGGTTGAATGAGGTGAGTGAGGTAATTGTTAGTGCCAAAATATGAGGCAAACATGTCTGGTGTCAGCCGAGTGGAGGGTGGAGGAGGAGGTGAGTGGAGGAGTGATGATAGTGGGTATTAAAATTTCTCAAGTTCTCAAGATTGTGCCTAAGACTCAAAAATCAAAGAGATGACAGGGGTTGCAGTTTCAAGGATTTATTTCCCATCCAAAGCCGTGGTTTCTGTGGTATCAACGACACATTTTCCAAATTAATAACATAAACTAATCACGAAACTATGAACAAACAATTACCATCTTGATTAAATTAATAGTGAACTCAAACAGATTCAAGAAACAGAAGATAAATAAACATCAACAACAAGTCTTGCTCAGGAACGCATGGCAGAGGTAGTGGATGGAGATCGTAGAGATCTACAGCTTTGAGTTGGGGCTGTAGGCACACCTGCAATAATCAATCCTGCAGGACATTGAGTGGATGTGACAACTCTGTCCACCAGAGGTCGCCATTTAGACTTCCATGGAGAGAATTCACATCAATGAGCATAGAAGGACCTGTGAATCACTATGATTATGTTGTTTATGTTATCATAAACACTATATTAATGAACATCTCTCTGGTTAACTCTAGATTATGTTGTACTTTAACCATCTACAGCATTAGCTATCTCCACACCAGATGGTTCACCAGAAAGAACAGGTATGTGTCTCAACCATAGACTGTAAAAATAATGGACGGGACAAGGTCCCCGGTCTAGTGAAGCTTCCATCTTTAGAGCTCCCCCTACTGACTGACTGCAGTATAGGTGATAAACCCCGCCTCCTCAATGATAACAGATGGGATGTGTTTCCAAACCTAAACTCTGCTTTGATCATTAGTTATTATCACCCTACATCGTGTTCAAATGCTCATTTTTCTGTGAAGTTTGTTTTAAATAAGTTATTTGAGGTTGAAAAACAGGATTTTACGTCATATTTGACGATGATTGACAGGCGCGGATCGTGCGTAGCTCTCTTTGTGAATAACAAAGTTACGTAGTGAAGGAAAGCCGAGACGCCATTGAATTTTTTCGTTCAGTTTTTTGTCGTTTTTGAGCTGGAAAATGAGTTGTTCTGCAGTAAACTGTTATTGTGATTGAAATTGTATTTAAAACCAAGAATCGTAATATAAAATCCGCTCACAGATGCGATTCATTGACTGTATAGTCATTTTACAGCAAAAATAAATACGTCTGGTAAAGTCTCAAAAGTATCTCGGGCAAAAACAAAGTCACATAATTGTAATCTGGCCTGCATCATTACTAATGTGAACATGTTTACAGTCTGAGTGATAAGTGGACTATACTGAGAGTAACAGGTTTTACTTTCACCGTGCAGGCTGAAATTCATAGGACTATATACGAGGGGAGAATATTTCTCTATGTATCCAGATAAAACTAAAGGTAAGATGTGATTTAATATAATTGTTACTGCAGTGGTGTAATGTAATATTAACTGAGCATCATGCTGCTTAAACTGATAAATGTTCTGCATTGTCTTCCACACACACCAATTCAACAGTCACAAGTTGATCATATTGTAAATTTAATGATGCTCATTGAGAAATTGTTCTAAAAATTGAGAAAATCTGACAAATTTTAATAATAATAATAATAATAATAATACATTTTATTTAAAGGCGCCTTTCAAAACTCTCAAGGTCACCTTACAGAGCAGAGATAAGCGGTGATTGTGACTGTGTCTGTATTTAACACCTTTGAAAGGAAGGTGCTAATGCAGGAGACCAGTGTTACACACAACATGCTGCTGTTATGGTAGTTAGGAGGAGACATAGGCACAATAAAAGAAGGCATAAAGATCGCGTTTTTCCCCACACATGTTAATATGTTTTAAATGTCATGCATTTATTTTTTATTTCGCTTCAATAATCGTTAACGAAGAGAAACACCATGATTAAACTACAGGCTGTTGTTGCCTTTTTATAGCCAAAGAAAACTGAACATTCACAGCCTCTGCATTCAAAAGAATTTCAACATGGACATTTATTTCATCCTATTTCCCTCTTTTCGTCAACATTATATTTTAAACTGGGGATTTCCTTTTTCTCTGGTCTCTGGTCTCTCCCCCAGCTCGCCCCCTCTTGTGAGCTCCTCTCCATAATGCGCTCGTCTCCTCCCTCTACAGCTGCTGCTACTCTGTAGGACGCTTTGATTGGGACACCTCACCAATAAAATACTATTTTATATTTTATAAGCAGTTTGCCACCACAATGCACTTTTACTCTCCAAAGGCATATGAGTATGTGCGTGACAACTTTAACAAAACTTTACCACACAGTCACACCATCCACACAGCTGATCCAGGATTTACTGTAGCATCTTTTACAGCACTAAAAGGTCATGTACAGGCAAACAGAGAGAAGGGAAAAGAAACAATCTGTGCTCTCAAATAACAAAGCAGTCTCAAATCTTTTTGAGGAATTACAGCTATTTTTTTTTACTTTGCATACAGTACATCCTCTGATAAATAAACTGAAGTACTTTGATTGCATTTCTGTGGTGTTCCTGTAGGAGACCATGATGCAGCCAGACTGAAACAGCAGGTTGTGAAGGTGGGCGCCGTCATCTCGTCTTTGCAGTGCTGATTCTGAAGAGAACGCCTTCACATTGGACTCTAAGGTAAAATGATCTCTCATATGATTGGACCGTGTTATTGTAACCGCTATCAGCATCAAAGTAATTTTAGTAACAATTTATAATCCTTCTTAAAATGTAAGGAAGACTAGCAGAAGATTTTAACAGCCTCTATGGTTCTGCAAGAAGTTCATGTTTAAATTGTTCTTCTTTCTGTCTTAAGGAAATCAATGCCCAAAGGAAACAGCAGTCCAGACTCTGATTCCAGCTCCGGTGAGGTTCTGCACACAAATTGGCTGTCTGATTATATGAGAATGTTTAACATTAGTTTAATTTATCAGGCTGGCCCATGTGATGACAGTTTACAATAATCTGCAATAGAAAGTGGCAGGAACACTTTTGTCTTCAAACATAAATTCATAAAGCTGATCATATTATTGAATTCATCATGTCTTATTATATATTTTGTTTTTCCTCATAAATAGTTATCCTGTCTTTAAAAACAAACTTTCGAAGCTGAAGTTTAGCAGAACCTGAGGACAGATCTGATTTCAGGTCTGAGGCATAAACATCACAGTAAAATTCATTATACTTTACATTTTATACTTTACATTTAACTCTGTGATTGTTTTTCTCTATTACAGAAGATGCTCTCAGATTCAGATCCATCAGCAACCCCTAACAACATGGAGGACTCGTCCCCTGAGTGTTTCCTGTCCTCTCTCGATGGAGTTCTTCTCTTCAGTTATTAACTCTTGAAAACAGCAGCACAAAATGCCAGACTGTTTGACAAGTCTGTGATTGAATAAATTGAAATGGAATCTCATACGTATCTTGCTATGCTTATTGGCTTTAAATGATTAATATTAAATAAGTTTGAAGGCCATTTATCAACATTTGCTTGTTTCATTGATTACAAGAAGGCGTTTGACTGGATAAATAGGGAGCTTCTACAATATAGGTTAAGTGCTGGTGTGAATGTGAAATTTTATTCTGCTGTGAAGTCTCTTTATCAAGCACCTGTTGCCTGCGTCCAGGTTAATGAATACACAACTGGATGGTTTCCTCAACAATTTGGAGTGAAGCGAGGAGATATTTTGTCTCCGACATTGTTCTCTATTTACATCAACGATTTAGCTCTTCAAATTGAAACCTCTAATGTGGGAGTTAATGTGGACTATCAGATTGTTGGAATATTATTATATGCGGATGATATAGTTCTACTGGCTGAAGATGAAGATGATTTACAGATTATGCTGAATATTGTTGCAGAGTGGTGCTTGAAATGGAGACTAGTGGCAAATGAAGACAAAACACAAGTAGAACATTTCAGGCAAAAATCATTAGTAAGAAGTCCATTTATTTTTAATTTATGCACAACAGTGCAATCATATGCTGATCAATATAAATATCTTGACTTGACATTGGATGAACACATGACTTTTAAAGAAGCTATGAGTGTTTTGACTCAGTCAGCTGGTCGAGCTCTGGGATCTGTACTGAACAAAGTTAAACACTGTGGTAATCTGGGATTTCAGATTTATACACAACTCTATCATTCATGTGTGTGTCCAGTGTCAGATTATGCTTCTGGTGTCTGAGGGTTCCTACCATTTAATTTGCAATTCTGTACATCAGAGAGCTCTGAGGTCCTTCTTGGGAGTCCATAAATTAACGCCAGTCCTCGCTGTGAATGGAGATATGGGATGGGAGCCTCAAAACATCAGACATAAATGTGAAATGCTTCGGCTTTGGAACAGACTTGTAAAGGTGTCGGATCAGAGACTCAGAAAAAATATTTTTATTTGGGATACCTGTCATTGTCACCCATGGGCAAAGGAGATAAAATCTGTATTCCATATGAATAATATTTCCTTTATTTTTCTGAATAAGTTAACTTGTGATATTCAGGAGATAAAGAATAATATGTTTGTTATGTACAAAGAGAAATGGTCTGTAGATATATGGTACAAACCAAAACTAAGAACGTATTGTCTCATAAAGGATTGCTACAGTGTAGAAGCCCATGCTAAGTTTAATTTATCCCTGAAAACTCACCTCTTCAACAACGCCTACAACCACTAACTGATCAACTCTTATTAACAGCATCCTAAGCTGAGCGGTTATGGCCTCAGAAAGTTAAAAACGTATTAAATAAAAAAAATACCTAAAAGAACAATATATATACTGTATATACAAACATCTGTTTTTATATACTAATATCACTTTTAAAACAGATGTTTACAAAGTGCTTTGACTTCATGATAATGAAGTCTCTGAGGACAAATTCCTTCTGGTGCTCCATCTTCATGATACATGTATCCTCATGGCACAAGTTCAATTTACCTTCAAAAGACCGCTGAGTTTATATACACTCGTATACCCTTAATGTGTCCTCAGAAACCCTTGATGTGTTCTCATATACCGTACATGTGTTGTCATATACCGTTGATATATTTTCATATACCATTGATGTGTTATCATATACTGTTGATGTGTTCTCATTAACATCTTCTTGTTTTGGTTGTTGTAGTTTATCTGGGAAACAAAGAGCCAATAGATTAATATGAGTAGGTAGATATTTATATATTTACATGATAAGTAAAGGGTGCATTTCAATCAGAGGAATTCTTACCTGTCCCTTTTTGCTGAGGTTTGCTGTTGGCTCTAAAATGTAGAATAAGAAAAAATATTAAATATTTCCAGATAGATGCTTGTGATCATCTCAATTAATAGTTGTCTATTTGAAAGTACTGTTACTGAGCTCATTATGTTTAATCAATAATCAAGGCTAGTCAGTTCAAATTACAACATCTCTGAACAACAATTCATTAAGAAACAAAAATGTCTGACTTGTTATGATATGAAGTTATTACACTCACTTCTTTATATAAAATGTGTCCTGTCATTGTGTCAACCTGAATCTAGTTTAACATTTTCTGTCTGCTTTTTCCTCTGAACTCACTCGTGTCTTCTCAGATCCCGACTCTCCCTTCTGTTTTGCAGAAATCTTTGTCTTTACACCACCTCCATTTTTACATCTTCTGAGCTGCACACTTGTAATAAAATTTAACTCTCCTCCAGTCGCTTTCAATTTCAAGTGTTCGAACAACGCTCTTTAACTACACAAACCCGTCACTGTGTTTTTAAACTTCTGTCCTTTGTGCTGCTTCATAAGTGGATAAGTCTTCCTAACTCTCTGGTAGGCTGGCTGGTATAAACTTCAACAGTTTTCTAACAACTAGTAATAATGAACTATTACATTCAAACACACTGGGATGAAAAAACAAGCTTTCCCAGTTACATTTCAAAGACCTTTTAACTTACTTCTTTTTGTAGATAAAGTATCCTGCAGCAGCAGCTGCTCCAGGGATCACCAAACATGCAATTACTATTCCAGCGATACAACCACCACTACAGTTTGATGGTACTGGAGAGGATACTAAGAAAAGAGGAGGAAAAGAACATATTCTGTAAACAGGAACTGTGCCATACTAACAGCAGATACAAAGCATTCATTGACTTCCCCTGATTTCTACCGACAGATTATTTATGCACTATGGGTAATGAACCAGATTCAGTTTTAACAAGGTAAATGAATGCTTGGAATAAAAACCACAAAATCTCTCGACCTCTTATCATTAATTTGAATAATATTTTAAGAACTTTAAGACTCACAATTTTAATCTGTAGAAGTGCATTTCTAAATTTGACAATTTTCAGAGAATCCTTCAGTAATATATCGGGGCGCTGATAGCCTAGTGCATGAGC